GCAAGTATCCAGATGATGTATTTTGAACTGAAGAAGCAGAATGACTCTATGTGCTTATATACACACAAATAGTAGTATATATTAAATATTAAAGTGAGCACATGAAAAAAGGCATCTTCTGCTAGACACCACATATGAAATATTTTATAAGGACTATAGATCATAAATGAGCTGTCATCTTCCATCCTCAAATTTAGTGCAGCGTTAAATCCTAAAAAACTTCTGTAAAACTGAAGTGACTGGGTTTAGTTCTGATTTTAAAACAAAAAAGAGAGAACAGTTGTGAGACTAAGAGGCTAATCTTCATAGCCTTCAGGCATTAGTACTGGAGATATCCCAGCACCAGCCATCTTTAGAATCTTCAATAATAACCTTCCTGCTGTCATAATGTCAAGAGTAAGCTGTTCTATGACAATTCTACAATGTAGTGTTCAGTTACATTCACAATTCCTTTGATAACCAACAGTCCATGGCGGCCTCTGACAGGACCCAAGTAACATTTAGGCTCCAGCAGTGACACAAATTATATCAGCATCAATACTGCCTGCGTAAACCAGATACATGGGATTGATTTTTAGAGAACAGCATATTCTCCCACCAAATAAAAAGTCAGTCACGAACCTGTCCACCTGAAAACTGTTTGCCTTGTAACAATATTATGCTTGGATCTGTTTCATGTGTTATATTTTTTGGGTTACTCAATCTAAAACTGAGAGCAATTTACAAAAGAGGTCACATGAATATAGCAAGCCACAGAATACAATGTACAAATGCAAACTGCCAAAAAGAAGCAACCTTACTTATTTCAGATTGGAATTTTTAATAACCACCCATCCTCAAACCATGTCAGAGGTTGTCCAATCTGATTGGCCACCAGCTCTCCAGTCCCTGTCGTGCCAGGATTGAGCAGCGGTTACTGCTGGAGCTACAGACAGTTCCCAAGCAAGAGGGCTGACAGAGCCCATACTTAAAGGTAAGTATGGGATTTTGGACAGGCCTAGATAGCAGACTACAACAATGACAGATTAGAAAATGGGCACAGGTTTGAGAGATTGAAGGGCAGATTTAAAGGTGGATCAAGTCTTTGAGGTTCCAACAGGAAGCGAAGATCCCATCCTCAAAAAGAAATGTCTACCATTTCCTGTCTGTGAAACCTGCTCAGTTGCCTACCTTGACTTGTTCCCCTTCTGTATGTAGAGCAGAGATGGAATAAGACCTTCAAGAGATCATTATTTGGCCACTCAGGGTAAGTGGCTGTCTGGCACATTCTCCACCCACCATCATATTAGAGACAGGTCAGAAGTGGGTGCAGAAGCGGGCCAGGCACCTCATGTAAAGACACCCCTTAAAACATGCCAGCTGAGGACCGTAAAATCCAGCCCATGCAACTTCTATAAATGAACATGGAGGGAGAAACATTTTGTCTTTTTGTTTGCAGTTGAGTTTTGATTGACAGTTCTATACTAGAAACTATCTGAATATGGGGAAAACATAGGGAGCTTTCTCTGAATCTTCTTATCAGATAAGGCCAGTTCACACAGTTTTACCAAATACAAAAATAATTCTAACAGTCCATTTAGCTCAGACGGAAATTACAAACCTGGTTTAAGAACAGAATGTTAAGTTTTAATTTCACCATGACTGTAAAAGTTCATTTTTCAAAGCAAAGTAAAAAAAACCATAAAAGCCCTTTTACTTGAGTGCTTCCAATGACTGAAATAGAGTCACAGAGTCAAAGTTATACAGCATGGAAACAGACCGAAACTGATCTAGTCCCATTTGCCAGCACTTGGCCCACATCCCTCTAAAGCCTTCTTAGTCATCTAAGGTACAAAAAAATTAAGAAATTAAGACTGAAATATTCTGTTCTTAAGCTGTCTAACCTGTTTAATAAACCAGGACTGTAATTTCAGTCTGAGCTAAATGGTCTGTTAGAATTATTTTTTCCAGCAATTGAGAAAGATCTGGTGCATATGTTGAGTACGCTGTATTGTTTCTGGGGCTCACTCCAATACTACAGAGTGCATTAACTTTCCCTTTAGTGTACTTACCCTTACGAGTTTAGTAGAATTCTTTGAGAAGTTAACAAGCAGGACGGATAAAGGTGAAGCAATATATGCAATATATTTGTATTTTCAGGAAGTGTTTGATAAGGTATCACACATTAGATTTCTTAATAAGACAAGAGCCCAGGTTTTAGTGGTACTATATTAGTATGGACAGGGGATTGGCTAACTAACAGGTCACCTTGTTATAGGAAGGATGTTATTAAACTGGAGAGGGTTCAAAAAAGATTTACCAGGATGTTGCTGGGAACGGACGACATGAGATATAAAAATAGGCTGCAAAGGCTGGGACCCTTTTCCACTAGAGATCGGGAGTTTGAGAGGTGAGGTTATTGAGGTTTATGAAATCATGAGGGGCGTGGATAAGTTGAACAAGTTTGCAGATGGCACCAGAACTGGAGGTATAGTGGACAGCAAGGAAGGTTACCCTATTGGGATCTTGATCAGATGGGCTGAGGAGTGGCAGATGGAGTTTAATTTAGATAAATGTGAGGTGCTGCGTTTTGGAAAGGTAAATCAGGGCTGGCCTTAATAGTAAGGTCCGAGGGAGAGTGGCTGAACAAAAAGACCTTAGAGTGCAGGTTCATAGTTCTTTGAAATTGGAGTCGCAGGTAGATAGGATAGCGAAGAAGGCGTTTCGTATGCTTACCTTTATTGGTCAATGCATTGAGAATAGGAGTTGAGATCATGTTGCAGCTGTACAGGGCATTGGTTCAGCGTCTTTTGGAGTAATGCATGAAATTCTCATCTCCCTCCTATAGGAAGTATGTTGTGAAACTGGAAAGGTTCAGAAAAGATTTACGACTGTGTTGTAAGGTTTGACCTATAGGGAGCAGCTGAACAGGCTGGGGCTATTTTCCCTGCAGTGTTGAAGGCTGAGGGGTGACCTTATAGAGGTTTATAAAATCGTGAAGGTCATGTATAGGGTAAATAGGCAAGGTCTTTTCCCCAGGGTGGGGGAGTCCAAAACTAGAGTGCATAGGTTTAAGGTGAAAGGGCAAAGATATATAAGGGGCAACCTTTTCAAGCAGAGCATGGTGCATATACGGAATGAGCTGCCAGAGGAAGTGGTGGAGGCTGGTATGATTACATTTAAAAGGCATCTGGATGGTTACATGAGTAGGAAGGGTTTAGAGGGAAATGGGCCACATGCTGGCGAATGGGACTAGATTTATATAGGATATTTGGTCGGCTTGAACGAGTTGGTCTGAAGGGTCTGTTTCTGTGCTGTATATCTCTATGACTCTATGAATGACAAAGGTCTCTTCTTTCGGGTGGGGGAGTTCAAAACTAGGGACATATTTTTAAGGTGAGAGGAGAAAGATTTCAAAAGGATATGAGGAGCAACTATTTTACAAAGAGAGAGTGGTTCATGTGTGGCATGAACTGCCAGAGAAAATGGTAGATGCAGGTACAGTTATAGTGTTGAAAAGACATTTGAATAAGTTCAGGAAAAGCTTGGAGGGATATGGGCCAAGCATAGGTAAGTGGGATTACATTTAGTTTGGGAACATGTTCGGCGTGGATTAGTTGGACTGAAGGGTCTGTTTCCATGCTAGATTACCTTATGACAGAGAATTGGGATGAGGAGGCCAATTTTAGGATGGCAATCTGTAATGAGTAGATCAGTAAAAGGGATAAATGCTGCGGTGACAATTATTTACAGTATATATTAATGACTTGAAGAAAGTGAATGTTTTACGGCCAAGTTTTCAGACGATATCGGAATAAAATGGGAAGGCAAGTGGTGAGGATGACTCAACAAGCCCGCAAATGGATACAAGCTAAGCAAGTAGGTAAAAACTTGGTAAATGAAATATAATGTGGGAAAATGTGAAGTTATGCACTTTGCCAGAAAGAATAGTGGAGCTGGATAGGATTTAAATGGAGAAAGTCTGCAGAAAGCTACAGAACAGGGAACAGGGACTCCTCATGCATGAATCACAATTACTTAGCATCCAAGTTCAGTGGGTAATGGGGAAAATACATGGAATATTGGTGCCTATTTCAAAGAGAATGGAATATAAAAGTAGAGACGTTTTGCTAAAATTATACAATGCACTAGTCAGACCACACAGCTCGAACACTGTGAATAGTTTTGGGCCTCAGGAAAGATATAATGGTTCTGGAGACAGTCTAGAGAAGTTCGCTAAGCAAGGACAGGTTGAGTCTGCATTCACCGGAATTTAGAAGAATGAAAGCAACCTTATCGAAACATAAAAGAATCTTAGGGAACTTGAAAGGATAAATAAAGAAAGATTGTTTCCCCTTGTGGGAGAGTCTAGGCGCAGAAGGCACAATTTCAGAATAAGTGTTGCACATTTAAGACAGAGATGAGGGGGAGTTTCTTTGCTCAGTGAATCTGCGGAATTATTAACTGCAAAACGTTGTCGAGGCTGGGTCGTTAAATATATTCAAAGCTGAGATAGATCTTTAATCACTAAAGGAAACAAGTGTTTTCGGGAAAAGGCAGGAAAAGGGAGTTGGGAATTATCAGTTCAGCTATGATCCCAAGAATTCTGAAGCAGACCTGATAAGCTGAATGGCCTACTTCTGCTCCTACACTTTATGGTGTTAACCACTTGCAAAAGTGCCACATCTATGTTAATGGAATTTTCTTTATCTAAGCTTATATACTAAATATTATAGTTTATATAAAAATCATTGCAGACTAAAAGAAAAAAAAATTGCTGTTTCACTTCCCGTTTCACATTCTCAAGACATCAGAAAGTGCTTCAATCAGGTACTTTCAAAGTGCAGTCAATGTTAGACTGGCAGCGGATTTGTGCATAGCATGTTTTTACAAAAAAAAAGAAATAAATGGCCTTCTTTGCCGGCTTTACTTGAGGAGCAAATGTTGCAAGAAGGAGAAGCCCGCTAATCTGTTTTGAATGCTGTCATGTGCTATTTTACATCCAACTGAAGAGGTAGGTGGGGCTTTAGTTTTAACTTCTCATTTGAAAGACAGCACCTCAGATACTGCAGTCCTCTCTCAACACTTAATTCAAGCATCAGTATGTGTGTCCTCATTTGAGCTCAAATGCTTGAGGGAGGGGAAACAATATAAATTAGCTCTGATTATTGTTACTTAACTTATTGTTTCAAAAATACTTTATATTGGCAAATTACAATACTAACTTCTTGTTTTGCTGTTTGTCACATAACATGAGCACATTGTAAACATCAGAACATATTTTGGCTCTTAATAAATTGAAACATTACAAATGTAGATATTAAATGAGTACATACCTAAAAGAAACTGTTTCATTGGCTCACTATGAGCCATCTTCAGAACCGTCTGACCTGAATAGGTAGCAAGGGTGGGATCTGCACCATATGACAGAAGAACATGGACAACATCCAGGTTATCATTCACGACAGCATCATGAATAGGTCTAAAAAAAAGATAAGTTGTATTTAAAATCAATTTGTAATGTCAATTTTAGCTCAAAATATTTAATAACTAATTAAAAAAAATCAGCAACAGGACAATACTACTGAACACAGTGAGCCAACAGGGGCTTATTTCAAATATACGATAAGATAGATCATAATACATTAAGATCACCTATCACAAAAATACTTCTTCATTTTTGAACAGAAAGCATCCTCAACCAGGGAATAAACTCAAGCATGTCCTGCTGGGAAAGTGACAGCCTGGCTGAACACTTGTGCTCAGTAATGTCTAGGAAGCTAATTTTGCCTTTTTCAACCAGGAAATCATGCTTGGTTTCTCTTTTCTGAGGAACTGCAGATGATTGAGGAGAAGGCTGCTGATGTTCTTGCAGATACTGATCCTGCACCTGTTAGTGTTATTGCTGCTGTTCTCACTCCTCATTGTAGGTCCCTGGTTGAGTTGTGTAAGCTGCTCCAATACTGCTGTGATGGATAACAGCTGGGAAGTGGAAGTCGAAGGCAAGAAACTTCATGGTTCCAGAAATAACCTTAAAAAAATTGGATATCACCTCCAAAGTAGTGAAGGCACACACTCTGAACATGCCCTGTGAGCAAAATCCTTTCACTTGGGCAGTTGTCAGACTTCAGGGTGAAAAGCCTTTGCTGTCTATTGATTGATTAGTTCTGATAATTCACACAGTCATTTTGCTTTGTTTTACTGGATGAGTTTCAGAAAGTCTAGGAGATCCAGAGTTACAGTCAGAGTCTGGGATTAAAATTCCACATAGAGAGCATTTAACATATTTAAATGGCAGACCTACCTATGCCATTGTGCAAGTTAAAGATGGAAAGTTAGAGAGTTCCGGCTGGTTTCTTCAAATGCCAGCAGTTCAGCTGACTAGGCCTGCTACATGCACGGACACCAAACTACCTTGACAGGTTAAAACTCCTCTTATGTTGCATCATTGCGTGATGATTACTTGTGTGATTACTTGTAATAAGACTGAGATAGGAACATAAGTTAAAATCGGTAGCCATGTTGGCCAATTCTTGAATATCCAGAATGAAGGGGGCGAACAAAGACTTGCATGGATCATTGCTGCTGAAGCAAGGTACAATTGGCCCAATTTAATTTAATGTTTTCAGTTCATGTGAATGATGGCATCAGTTCATCATAGCATAAAGGAATACAATTGCTCCATGCTGTGTTACACATTTACATGATTAGATGTTAAGCAGTACAGCAAACCTCTTGTCATGAGGATTATTTAATGGTGTGACCAACATCAATATATTTAACGATATTATCTAATGCAGATCCAAAATGAACAGACAGATTTGCAGGAAGCACCGAGGATTGTTCCACCTCTAAATATGCTATACCTGTATTGTAATTGCTTTTAGTGAATTCTGGGAAAGACTTCCCTTCTCCAATGTTATGTCATCACTGCAGAACGTACAACATTCACAACACCATAATTACTTATAGCATTCTAACCTGGTACCATCCTGTGCACTGCAATTTACATCTCCTCCATGCTCCAGGAGCCGTGTGACGATATCAAGCCAGCCACGTGCACAAGATTCATGCAATGCTGTATACCCAGCATTATCCCGGTGATTGACATCACAAATGGCGTTCTCCAAACAGTAGATAACTACATCCTACGTAAAAAGAGATTAAATACGCAGGATGTTATAAAGGTTTAAGAAAAAAAATCCACTTTGATAAGACAACAGGACAAACCCTGACCATTGCTTGTAACTTTGGATAATAAATGCAGATTCAAATCACACAAATTAATTAACAATTCACAAACAATGTGTCTCCTTAATGTGCTCAGTTATTTTGCTGAGATACTGACATATATTAGTTGGCTTTTATTCCCTGGCCCAAATGGCCATTCTTTCATGTGTTATCTTTCAATTCGAACATTTGGAGTTCAAGCCCTAAATATACAATCTGGGTTGACATTGCCTGAGAAATTGGTGCAATATTGATAGCACCACTTTTTGGATGAGATGCTAAATCAATGGTGTCTAAGGTGGTTGTAAAGAATCAAATAGCACAATTCAAACAAGTGTAATGGAGTTCTCCGGTTTTCCCCGTGAACATTTATTTCTCAAACAATAAAATCACTAAAACTGATCATGTGGTCATTTAACCTCCATATTTATTGTAATGTGGTGTCTACACTTCAGAAATACCTGATAACTGTGATGCATTTTGGGATGTCCTGAGCTCCCAAAACATGTCCTTTCATTGCAAATTCTCTTTGTTTATAGCTAGAAATGGTGAAAAGTATTACAGCTAAAATTTATCCTTTGCTTATTTGATGTCCACAATGGATTTTCCAGCAGGGCTGCTGAACAGTACTGAGACAAGGGAATACAGCTTGGTTTACTTTCCTTGCACCCCTCGGTGCTGATGCAAGTCATAGCACTCCGATCACATTAGTTAAATTAGCTAACTTTGCAGATAGTATACTGGAACCTAACATTTATGTTGTTGGAACATTGAGGAATTAAAAAAAAAGACTAATAGTGCATAACATATTATTTTCTTTTATGAAATTTGAACTTGATAATTCTGGGATAATACGTATGGAGTTAGGTAACAACACTGAGGTCAAATTCATGCAATGTTTCTTTGTACATCCAATTAACAAAATTGTAAGAATATTTCAAATTTGTAGAAAATTAACAACAGCTTTAACAAGCTAATCTTTTTGTCAATCCATCTACCTTCCTGTTATATCTCACAATTCTTTCTCACTGGGTTTCTTAAGCCTATTTGTACTGTTCACCTCAAAATCCTTACCTCCGAACTTATTTCACAACTCAAAGTAATTTAGTTAGATTTGTTTTTAAAAGCACCTTCACTTAGCTCAAAGTTCAGGAATGTATCTGTATTTGAGCAAAATGACCAGTGTAAGTTATTCCAGACTATTTTGAGGGAGGGTCACAGGACCTGAAACATTAACTCTGACTTCTCTTTACGGATGCTGCCAGACCTTCTGAGCTTTTCCAGCAACTTCTGCTTTTATTCCAGACTATTGTTTATTTAAAGCCAAGCTTCCTTACACCAGGTCTCTGCAGATAGCTTTAATTCTTTTTTCCCTTTTTGTCCAATTAGCTAGTCATGGGGCAGGTTGCTTCACCATGCAAAACTAATTTTTACAAACTGCCATTGATAAGAAATCTGTTGGATCATGGACAATAAACTCTAAAAGAAAACTGTGCTAGATATAATTAGTTTGTAGAAATTCCAAACTACAAAACATGGGGTATTTCAAGACTAAATCATATTGGAAATTTCACAACTAAAATTCAGGTGGAAAAGTAAGGAATACCTGAAGAATATTTGCTTACACAAAAAGCCCCTTAACTCTTTAACCCTGTGAATTAACATTACTGTACAGTTGTTAATCCAGTCCCAGTAGTATTCTGTGAGCTAAGCAATGTTCACCTTGTATTATTGATTCAGGGAAGGTAACTTACAAACAGGCTTATGTGGAACACTGCTTATCAAGCTCTAACTATGGCCAGTTTTTCACAATGATTTATTTGGAATAACGGAGCAGTCAGTTTTTTTTTCAGTTAGTTGAAATTAAATTGGAGTTTAATGCATGTTCTGCAAATCTAAGATACTCCATTTTGCAAGGTAAATACACACAAGCTCAGCTGCAACAAACTGCCTTGCATATAGTGACATCATCACTTCATGCCAGGAGTTGTATACCATACTTGTGGCATTGGCATGTTGAAGCAATGGTATCAAATGTAGGCCTCATTGGCAGTATTTTTCTTTTATTAATACTTAGTACACTGCTGCTGTTCTTTCAAGAATCTCTTTGAATAAATTCTTCTCACAGATGGGATTTTCTTGGTCTCTTTTTCCATGTAATAGAGTCGTTTTAGAATGATAACAGCATTGGAGGAGGCCATTTGGTCTGTCACGTCCTTGCAACATTTCTAACCTTTCCTACTTCTGATAAAAGTTCAATCTGGAAAATCAACTCTGTTCCTTTCTCCACAGAGTTGTTACCTAAACCACTTAGTATTTTCACTATTTTCTGCTTTTACATCATATGCTCAATGCCATTCAGCACATTGTGTTATGAGCTCAGTTAGAACATTAATTAAAGTTGTATTAGATCTGCATCAATAAAATGCCAAGAGTACTATTTCTCTGGGCTGAAATCAAAACCAAATGTTTGCTTTTTAGCTTCACCAGGTGTCAAAATTGTTGTGTCTGACAATGTGTTTATTCAAGCACACTGTCTTGGTCATATCTGCACTCTGAACCGATACTTTCATTTATCGCATTGCTGTGTCAATATGTGTTGCAGCACTTGCTTCCATAACATAGTGATACTCTTCATCATTACTTCATGAGCTCAGGAGTGCTTTGGAAAACTCTGATGATATGAAAATGTAATATATATTCAATAATCCATCTTTTCTTCAAAGAATGATGTATTTTGCAAAAGACTGACAAAAACAAGTGAAATCTTTTATAAATAAGACAGTGTCCTGTGATTCTCCACACCGTCACAATTTGGCAGATTGACTAATTCAGCTGCTTTACACCATTCTTCTCAAGTGTCCTTTTTTATTAGGACAACAGTATATGAAATCAAACAGCTGAGTTAAAGACGAAGCAGTACAGAACACACTGAAGCCAACAATTTATTTCCAATTATACTAAGACTGCGCAGCTGGCCAATTATAATTTGAGTTTTTGCCTTTTCTAACCCGTTGTGTACTGCAAAGCATTCTGCACAACGAAAAATGAAACTGTAGAAAAGGGCATTCCAGGTTAGAATTCACTGAGTGTTATTCAGACAAATAAAAACTTAGATGATAAAAAAACCTGATAACTTAATGTTGCTCAATGATTTAAGTTAGCAATTACTAAACTACTTGCATTTGCAACAGTGGTTTCCTGTAACAGTAAAAACCACTGCAAAAACTAGTTCATCATTCATCAATCGGTACCATATCTTAGGTGCCAGGTACCTTAGAAGCTACCATGATGCTGATACCTTTGAGAATGCTCATGTACCTGCTTCATTTCAAGGACTGGATGCCTTACAGGATGATTACTGGCTGCTGGCTCTGTTACAAACTCCCCCAACTGAAGGTGAGCATAGAAACAGTGGAGCCCATTCTTTGGCCAGGGATCATCATGGAGTAGATGCTAGGCCACCTGAAGATGAGGTTGCGTGGTGGTGGTGGCGGCAGCAGGGGTGGGGGGTGGAGGCAGTGAAATTGCAGCATAGTTCAGACAAGGATGTGCCACATAATTTTTGCATATTGGGTTCTGCACGACTGGAGCAGGCAAACAGCTTATGTGATGGAAACTGAAGAACTAGAACAACAGCAACAGTCTTCCACGGACAAAGATTAGGATGTTGAGCAGGAGGAACATCATCCTCGCCAAGACAGAACAGTGCAGTACTGGATGCAAATGGTCAGACAGAACTTTAATGACACCCACCTCCCATGGATGTGATTTGAGTGAAGTGATCATGCATTGACTGTATGTTTGTTGTTCCTGAAGGACTCTGTTTATTCACAGAAGCAAATGGAATTCCTTTCCCCCTTGGTTTTCTTGTTGTTCTATAAAAGCCAATGTCTTAAAACTACTTGAAAGTTTCCAACATGTGATAATCCCATATTGAAAAAAATGACAAAATGTTGTATTATGCTTGCTATTAGGGAAAGTTCCTTTCCATGGATTGTCACCTTGTTGTGGTAGACACACTTGAGTGTTCCATTGATCCCGAGAGTGAAGCCATCAGGAGTTCTCAACTCCTGGAAGGGCTACTCATGATGGCAAGGTTGGATGGGAAAAACCAGGCAATGCGCAATCCAAAACAAGTCTTCAATGACGTTCCAGGTGGAAGATATTCGTATGATAATCAATGGTTGTAATGCCAGATGAAGGCTCCGGCAGATGGGAGATGCCCAGTCATCAAAGTTTCCTTGTCACTAGAACTATCTTTTCTGTCAACGACCGTGTGTCTGCTGATTTGCAATAGCATTGTGATATTTAAAAAGACATTTCACACAAAAAGAATTCAACTCCCACCAGACACACACCATACAAGCCCTGCACTGGTCGGAAAAAGGTGACAGGGACAGGATGATGAGATCCGGAACCTCTAGCTTTGGACCGGTACACAGGCAATGGAGTTCACTCAGCTGTTTCATTCTTGAAATTGGAACACGAAAAAGTTTCAGCAGTTTTCTTCATGACTGAGCAGACTTCTTAGGATCTTTTCTAGTCACCATGTATAGGGAAGGGGGCTAGAAAAGGTACCCTGAAAACAGTTTGTTCCATTATCAACCTGGCTGGAGAACCGCATCTAGCAGGCTCATCTACCTATGGTCTGAAAACCAAAACCAAACTCAATTTTGGAAACTGGTATATTCAAACCTTAATGGATAATGAGCAAAATAATCATCCAGAAGGAAGAATTGCCCTCGCTGACTATGAACTCAGGTACTTCAACTTTGAGATCACATCCCTGCTGGAGACCAGAACAGCAAAACAGGGCAGCTGAGGGAAAAAGGTGGTGATGATGATCAACCCAGGGTGCATGGAATTGGATTTGCGATCAAGAACAAACTCATCAAGCTTTTAATCCACCCTGGACACCATACTTGCCAACATCCCTAAAGAAGATAAAATTACCATGCTCGAGGACTTCAATGCCAGGGTTAGAAAGGAACCATTGGAAAGGAACAAGTTGGGAATTCCAACTCTAATGGGATTTGTCTAACTATATGTGCAAAATGCCAGCTGGTCATCACCAACACACTGTTCTACCAAAAAGACATGTTTAAGACTTATTGGAAGCATCTGTGATCAAAGCACTGGCACATGATGGCCTACATCATTATTTGAACATAAGACCAAAAGGGGATGTGATAGCCTAGTGGTATTATCACTTGACTGTTAACCCAGAGACCCAGGTAACGTTCTGGGGACTCAGGTTCAAATCCCACCACATCGGACGGTGGAAATTAAATTCAATTTAAAAAAAAAAGTCTGGTATTAAGAGTGTAATGATGACTATGAATTAACTGTTGCTTGTTGGGAAAAACCCATCTGGTCCTCTCACCTCATGCCCAAAAACTAATTCAAATGGACTGAATTTGGTGACTTCATTTGGTCCATTCCTACCTTTATCCTAATCCTCTGGACAGTCTTCACTCTAAGCCCTCATCATGGTCTTTAAAGTTTAATGCCACCGTTCAAATGCTCCCTGCGATATTGCACAGTGGATCCAAATTGTTTTATTCATAAGTTATCCATTACTTTCCTGAATAATTTTGATATAAAATTTGACCCTTGATCCGATTGAATGTCTGTGGGCAGTCTGTATCTCGTGAAAAATTTGTGTAAGTCTTCTACAATCCTTTCAGCTGTGAAATTATATAATGGAATGGCCTCCGGAAATCTAGAGGACACATTCATTATGGTCAACAAATACTGATTGCCACTTTTTGTTTCAGGTAGGGGTCCTACACATCAATTAAGACCCTTGTAAATCGTTCCCCAAATGGGGGAATGGGTATTAAAGGTGCTGATTTTATCACCGCCTGAGGTTTTCCAATTACCTGACACTTGTGACAAGTCTGGCAAAATGCAACTACATCCTACACAGTCCAAGCCAGTGAAAATGTTTTTATATTTTGGCTTGAGTTTTCCTTACTCCCAAATGACCTTCTACTGGTAATTCATGTGCTACCTGCAACACTTCCTTTCTTTAATGGTAATACAACTTGATAAACTTAATTCATTTATCATCTGCCTGAATATGTGACGCTCTGCATTTCCTCATCAAGATATCATTTTTAAGATAGTAACATTCTGGGATATTCTTCTTCTGTGCATGCTTTTTGATACAACTGCTTCAGTTTTTCATCCTTCTGTTGTAACTTAATTAATTTCTCTTAACTAACAATATCCACTTTGTCCTCCACCTGTTTTTGTTTTTCTCAACTATTTGATCACACATGGTCTTTGATAATTGTACTTCAATTTCTTTTTTCTTTGATTTCTCCTCCTGCTTCAACCTGTGACTTTGTGACCTTGTCATCACACCACCAGGAAACGTCCCAGGATACACTTGTTGTAATACCTCAGTTGCCTGATTTTCCACTGGGTTTTCAATGACATTAGGCAGCACTCCCACCTGTGATCCAGCTATATCATTACCAAGGACAAATTGTATTCCTAGAGCTGAGAGTTCCTCCAGTACTCCTACCATCAATTTTCCAATTTTCAATGAACACTCCAACCTCACTTTATATAATACAGCACCTCTTGTCTCATCATGCATTACACATATTACCACCTTTTCTGGAAATGGTCCTTCTGAATTACATTTCTCCTCATCTCTCACCATCATCTCTCACACATGCTCCTGTATCTCTTAACATTGTAATTTCTTTACCCACTCCTTCTGGCATATGTGTATAAACCTTATCCCCATCAAGTAAATTGTTTAAGCAGATTTGGCACTTTCTTCTCAAATCAACCCCTGACCAGGTTGTACATTCTGGTGCAGCTTTTTAGCTTCCACTGTGCTTTCCTTTACAACTTCAACAAAATTCACTGGGTCATTCTGTTTTCCCACATCCGTCTTCCCAGTGCTTTTTCTAAACCACCAACAGTGTCACTTCATGTGGCCTACTTTATTACAGTGATAACACCTGAGCTTTTTTTTTAACTTCTTTTTCCTCCTCATGGGTTTCCTTTTTACCCTGTGGTAAACTATCTTTATTATCTTTAATGAGATCTTCTTTTCCCTTACCACTCCAATTTCTATCTGTCACAGATCGAAATTGATGTCAGAAACCAAACATTGATTTATGAACCAACTCATAATCAATTGGCCATTTCAGCTGTGAATCTTGCAGATTTAACTCTGTGCTCTTCCACACGAGTTCTCACTTCTTCAGAATTGAATTTTTGAACTCCTCCAAAATAATCGTCTCTTTAAGCACGTCGTATGTTTGATCTATTTTCAATGCCCTTATCCATCTATCAAAATTACTTATTTTGATCCTTTCAAATTCAAATGTATGTTTGACTAGGGTCCCCCCTTAAATTCCTGAAGCATTGTCTGTAGGCTTCTGGCACTAGTTCATATGCACTTAAGATGGCATTTTTCACCTCCTCATACTCCCAGACACCTCCTCTGATAGTGATGCAAATATTTCACTAGCTTTACCTACAAACTTTGTTTGGATCAACAATACCCTCATGGTCACCAACCATTTCATTTTTTTAGCTACTTTCTCAAATGAAGTGATAAAGGTTTCTACATCCTTCTTGTTGAATTTAGGCAAAGCTTGGACATATTTAAACAGATTCCCACCAGGCCTTTGGCTATGATGGGATTGCTATCCATCACAATCCTCCTCACTAAGCCAACCTTCTACCTTCACCTCTGCCCTTTAAGTCGACTCTCCTCTCTAAGTGTCAATATCTGAAGTTCAAACTCTCTCTCTTTCTGCTTTTCTTCTCTCTCTTTTTCTCTTTCTTCTGCTATGGCCTTCCTCTCCTTTTTATCGTAATTCAAACTGTTTCATTTGCCTTTCTCTTTCTTTTGTCTCTAATTCAAGCTGCTTCATTTGCAATTGAATTTTAGCCATTTCTAAAAATACCAATGGCATTTCCAGTAATTTTAAATGCTGCTCAATTGCACAGCTATCTCCCCTTTCCTTGCAGACACCAGCAACCCCAACACCAGTTTCTTTGCCAATTCCAACAGCTTTGTCTTGCTAAATTTTTGTACAACTTTCAAACTCACTTCTTCCCAGAAAACTTAGTGACTGAAAGAGCCATCACTACACAAGGCACACCCTGTTTAATCCAAATGAATTCAACACCAACAATTACCACTTGCAGATTTTGAGTCCAATAATCCTAAACCCAACATGGAATTGTAGATTTTGATCCCAACAAGAGCCCCCAGTTTGTTATGGATCAGACCAGATCTCGTCAAAATATTTTAAGAAGGTAGCCTAGACCCTAACTTTTTCTTATTTTAAAGGCAAGTGTAAAGTGTCTGTTCCCGATGCAATGCGACTGGTCAAACTATTTGACGTTAAGCAAAACGCAATTTATTTAAATACTGTAGTTAAAATACAGCCAAAGAAAGAGGAATTTGGAATAACAACTCCATTGGAAAATTAACAGAATAATAGATACAGTAACTATTACTAATTAACTGTTCCAATGTTGTAACATCCCATAAACACAAACCGTTGGCAAAAAGTAAAATTCAGACACAAATTCTTGCATGTAGTTCTCCAATCCAGCAGGAATAAACATCAATAGTAAATTCAGACAGAGTAGCAGCTAAGACACATTCACTGAAACTTCCAACTCTTTTGAGACCTCCAATAGCCTCTGCTTAAAGCTAAATCTAAGAACAACAAAAAAAAAAGAATGCCCGGTCTGCGAGAGCTGGCCGCACCAAGACTGCTTCCTTTGTTCCAACTTTAAAAAAAAATCCCCAAGGCCTCTCAAGCTGTTTATTCAAGCGGTCTTCAGTAGCCAGCTCTGTGCCTCTGCCATGTAACCTCTCTTCAAAAAAAAATGACAAAATAACCTCTTGAAAGCCACAGCATCGTCACATTGCTAATAACTATCATTTTTTATTGAAATAACTTTCAACAATAGTTCTGTAATGAACTGACTTTTTATCTTGTTTAAAGCATGAACACCACAAGGGCCTAGGAAAAAAGCTTATGTAAATTGTTAGTCTATGGACCACTCTGAGGACAAGTCTGGTGCATAGTCATAACAATACATAATTTATAAATATCAGAGTTACAAAGTGATCCCAAATTCTGTCAGAAATTAAATTTTGAAACTGCAAAATGTTATTTTGCTTAGTGAAGAAAATAATTGGGGCTAGCCATATTTTTAAGATAATACACGTTACAGCAAGTTTCATTACTATGAAATAAATGATGAATTTATGATTTGAATCTGATGAAAATGGATGGAATCGAACGAAAATGAATGCGGTAGACTTTTTGGTCCACTTTTATTTTTCCAAAATGTATCAAAATGTCATTAACCTAGAACATAGGACACCAATGTAATTTAGAGACAACTAGGTAGAGCATGTCACATGCAATTCATTCAGAGGTTCTAATAAAGATGTTAAAAATGAGTTTTGGAGGGTAGGGAAGACTCTGGAAAGAACAAGGTAGTCCTGAGAAGATAAATAAAATTAAAAAGATCGAGTACTATGTTATTACAACTTTTACCTCATAGCCTAATCGTGCTGCTTTCTGTAGCAGTGTTTCACCAGCATTCTTATTTACTATTAACTTTCGTGTTTCAGATTGCGACTGCTGGCCCGTGGATGTCTCTCCTTGAACACATGGTGACCGTGGCACTGTTGCATATTTTACAGGAGTAATTGAGGACGTCCGTTTTTTCCAGTGGGCTGAATGATCACATTGTTTCTTTGGTGATGGGCTCCAATCAGAATCGAGCACTAATGCTGAGCGTTTTACAGAGCGTTTTTGCCTTACTTTTATCTAGTAGAAGATAATTATTTAAAAGGTCAATGGGACAAAGAAAATGATTTAATACCACAATCTTATCAAACAACTCAACTGAATGTCTTCCTTTTCATTGTATATTTAACGCACAGGAAGATAGGGTATGGTGGATCAGGGGTTGACACTGCTGTCTCACAGCGCCAGGGACCCAAGTTTGATTCCAGCCTTGGGTGACTGTCTGTGTGCAGTTTGCACATTCTGGGTGCTTTGGTTTACTCCCACAGTCCAAAGATGTGTGGATTAGGTGTATTGGCTATACTAAATTTTCCCTTATTGTTTAGGGATCTGCAGGCTAGGTGGGTTATCCATGGTAAATGCAGAGTTGTGGGGCTGGGTCTGGATGGGATGCTTTTGGAAGGGTAGGTGCAACTTGATGGGCCAAATGGCCTCTTTCCTCACTGTAGGGATTGTATATGTGCCTCATGGAATAAATGCAATCAGTTATAACTGGCTTTAATACTGAATCTACCATCTGATGACTTTAAATAGCAGAATCATTACACAGATAACAATTAAAAAATACAAGTGCAATTAAAATTCAAGGTCAAATAATTACACACTAACATGCTTAACATTTGTACACCAAGACTGTCCAGCAATAACAGGTCAAGACATTAAAACAGTGTAGTTTTATTTTATTAAGATGAAAAATCTATTCTTCAAATCAAATAAATAATTTGAAATCCTCATCCATCCTTTGTGATTCAGACTAAACTATTTCTCATGCTCTACTGGTGTCTGCCAAAGTCTGTAAAATTCAGCCCACCTGCTGCCATATCCTATTTCAGATCAAGTGCAATCCATTCATTACCACTGTCCTCTCTCACATGCTTTGCTTCCAGGTTCCCAAACATTTTAGAATCAAAATTCTATCCTTTTGTTTACATTGCATCATGGCCTTGCTTCTTCCCATTCCTCTAACATTATTCAATCTAATAACCCAACTAACTCCCCATTTTTCTGACTCTGGTCTCTTATGCATTGCCTATGCCCTTTATCCCATCATTGTGGATCTTCCTTTAGTTGTTCTAATATCACTGTGGGATTCTGGGTGCTTTATACAGCTGAGAACTGTATAGTATAATTCCAATGCAAACTGAAGAATAAAAATGAGCTGTTTTCACAGGTGCAGAAAAATGCTACAGCAGGACTCAATTAGAACCTTCTTCACTCAAGTCCCAGTTCCATGTGATCTGACATTACTGAGATATAGTCTAGCTAACAGTATATTGCTATTAATCTTAGATAAAATATTAATTGCCTAGAACCAGAAGTTCTATAATTCCTTCCTTAAACCGCTCTAACTCTCCATGCCCCTTTAGGATTCTTTCCAGAATTCATATCTTTGACCAAGCTTTTGGTTTGCCTTCCTAATTGGCCCAGCATCCATTTTTACTGATTGAACATCTGTAAAGCAGTTTAAGGGATTTTTATCTACACTAGAAGCATCATACAATGAAAGTTGCTTTAAGTTTCTTACCTTGTGTCTTCCTTGGTTGCTTGCACCTTCTTCTGGGGACTGGGGTCCGCTAATATGCTTTGTTTTACATTTACGTTTTCCTGATGGTTTTTCTGACTGAAACTGGCTTGGAGATTCAGGTATGTGACTCAAGTTGAGAGACCCTGCGCTACAAGACTCTTTACGTTTTCGTAAACCTCCTGACACAGGAGTACTGTGTCTGACACTCGGATTCCAATCAGTACTGGGCAAATTGCCTGAAGGAGCAAGTCTCTTTCGCGGTGAAGTAGGAGGTGTCCACGTTCCTAAAATAAACACTTCAATATAGTTAGCTTGACTCAACTCCAGCTCTGTTCTACATCTGTAAGCTTCTAAGAAATTGTAATCTAGTGACGTTCCAGAATGCCTTAATTACAATACATGCTTGGCATCTGCATAACATGATTTTACATAGCACCAAATGTGCAGTGTTTTGCTGTACATCACAGAATCTCCCGAACATTTAAAATGATTACAATCACCCTCACAATCAACAGCACTGAGGACAAGCATTGGCCAATTGCACTACAGCAATTCATGAAGATTCCTGTGATGGAACTTTCCAAATACACTACCTCTACCATTTAGAGGGATAAGGGCAGCATGTGTATGAGAATGCTACCATTTGCGAGTTTCCCTCCAAATCATACAATATCTTGACCATATCCTGGAACTATACTACAATTCCTACAATATCACTGGATCAAAATCCTGGATATCTTCCCCAGGTGCCTCAACACGAGACTACAGTAATTCAAAGCAGCAGTTCACCAATATTTTCTAAACGGCAACTAGCGATTGACAACAATGCCACACCAAATGAAAGATTCTCTTTTTAAAAAAAGACCACTTACAAGGTTCATGCCACCATTCTTAGTTAATCTAAAAGATGTTTACAGGTAGTATCAAACTGCAAAGCAATATTCTCAATATAGTGGTCAAGTGACAATACACAGATATCATTACGTCACAACAGAAATCCCCACATCTTCCTCCAGCAGTTTCCACTCCACTACCTCCTCCTCAAGTTGGATATGGAAATTCTATCTGCCCTTCTGCAAAAGAACTACTTGACTAAGGCAACTCAGTCAAATGAATAGAACCTATAGGTGCCCCTGTACACAATACTGTTGTGGCTGAACCCTCAAAGTTTATGCTTGTAGTAATTTTGTGGCTTGAAGACAGGGATAGATGATTATTTGACCAAGTGGTGTGTCTGGGCATGTTTCATCAGGACAAATAAATTACAGCATGAGAGGAAGTGGGTGATAGCAATAGACTCTATAGGCACCTAAGAATGAAATAAGTAAAGTGAATGCTGATCCCCTAAAGGGTGGGAATGGGAAGTTAAATGGGTGATAAAGAAACGGTAGATGTAATAAATAAATATTTTGCTTCTGTTCTTCATGACAGAGGATACAAAAACATCCCAGCAACAGCTGTAAATTAGCAGGTTGAAGGGAGAGAAGAACATGGTGACATTATATTCACTCAGGAAACCATACCGAGCAAAATGATGGAGCTGCAGGTTAATAAGTCTCCCCCTCTTAACAGACCTCATCCTAGGATCTTAAAAAGAGGTGGCTGATGAGGTGATAATTGCGATGTGTGAATTTTCAAAAATTCATTGGATTCTGGAAAGGTACCGTCAGATTGGAAAATAACAATCAAAGCCCCCCTATTCAAGAAGAAAGGAAGCAGAAAACTGAAAACTATAAGCCAGTTAGCTCAACGTCTGTCATGGGAAAGATGTTAGAATTGATCATTAAGGAATTTATAATTAGATTATATTTAAATGTTGCATTTAGAAAATCTCAAGATAATCTTAGGAAGAGTTAGCCTGACTTTGTGAAAGGGAAATTGTATTGATTTAAAATTATTGCAATTCTTTACAGCAGTAACATCCACTTCGGAAAGTGGAGAGCCCATTGATGTATATTGTACTTTCTGGTAGGCGTTTGACAGGTTCCACATAAACGGTTATTGCACAAGTAGGAGCTTATGGTGTAGGGGCTAACATACTAGCATGGATAGTAGACTGGCTGGCAAAAAACAGAATATGCATAAAGCATCTTTTTCAGATTGGCAGGATGTGGTGAATGTGCTGGACTCTCAACAAGGGTACAGTCACTTGTAGTTCAGATAAGTGATTGGGCAAAAATCTGGAAGATGAAGTATAATGTGGAAAAATGTAAAATTGTTCTTTTTGAATGAACATGAATGTTTATTCAGTTAGATGAGTCCAGAACCAGGGGACACTTTTTTTTTAATATTAGGAGTCACCCTTTAAGGAGAGAGGTAAGGGAAATTGTTTTCTCTTAGAGGGTTGCACCCTACCTCCAGAGGTGAAGGCAGGATTACTGAATACTGTTAAGGCTGGGGTAAACTGATTCAATTTCCTAAAAGGAATCTAAGTCTAATGGGGGAGTAGACAGGAATATGGAATTTGGAACACAAACAAGATTATCCCTGATCTTTCTGAATGTTGGAGCAGATTTGAAGGGCCAAATAGCCTACTTTGGCTGATTCAGATGTTATCAAAACTGTGGATATAATAGAAGACAGAATCCTTCAAAATAATACTTTTTACTTTCTTGTATGAGAAACATGCTTATATCAGTGGTTTAATTTTAATTTGTTCCTGTTTTGATATCATTATTCAACCTACAGAAGTATTCGTTCTAGGACAAAATAATTTGTTTTAGGCAGCATCACATATTGAGTTGTATTTAATGAGATACCAAATTACCTGGAACCCTTGCTAAATGAATGGTGGCAAGCTGACCCTACAAACTGATGGCTGCATGAATTACTTTAAACAGTAGGAAATCCCACATACATGAGCTGCTAGCCAATTAGATGACTGGCAGCTCTGTAGTTCCAGCACAGTCCGATGGAAGTGTTAACCAGTACTAAGACTGCACTACAAGGGCCAGACTGGTAGGTATCTGCAGGGTGGTGAACTGTGTTGGAGACTGGGGTTTGACAAGTGGGAGGGAGAGAAGGTAATGTAACCTGGGGTGGAAGAGGTTGGCCTCCATGGGTTACAGGACACTAAACAGCCTCAACAGGTTCAAAGGCAGGCCACCCAACACCTCCATTGAACTTCCCCTCACAACATTTCAGACAGGTCAGGGTGGGCAAGTAGGTGGCAGGAAGGCCACTGCCAGATTTTACAATGCTAACCCCAGACTGCCTTCAAATCTGGCTGTGGGAAAGCTTAAAATGCCTGAATACCATGTGGCAAATAGACAACATTGTGTTTCCCCAAACTTCTACAGAACTACAGAGCCATACATCAAACTTAAATTTTGGGTCAATGCACATGGTTCATAAGTTCTCAAAATTTCCACTGCCGTATAATCTAACAAGTTGTGAAGTGCAACTGGCATATTTTGTGTGAATACTATTGAAACGTTTGCTGCAAACCTCACTTCTCTGCGAGCAGAGGGTGCCGAACTCCAAGATTTCTCTGTATGGAGAAATAACTGAGCTTCACATTTTTAGTAACTAGAATCATTTCACTGCCAAAAAGACATCACAATGAATTCCCATGCTGGGTTTTGAATGGACTACAGTGCGAGGAGTTGTTCACCAACAAAAGTTAGAAAACACAAGTTTTGAGAATTTGCCATCAGTCAGGATTAATGACATTCAAAACAGATTTTAAAACATACATTTCGTCAAGTGGTAAAACACAGAATGCTCAAAAGATATTGAACTTTACCTGTAGTAACAGCTTTCCGTGTCTTTATTCCTGTGCTATCTTGATTTTCCTCCCCTTTGTATAAAAGTACTTCAGAATCCTTCTCACTTTTGAATTTCTTCCTACTGGTTCTTATTTGTGTTTTGATGGCAGGGTTTCGTTTATTACTACTTTTACAATTCCCATCAATCTCTGTTATACAACTCGAGTCAGGTGATTCCAAACTATTCTGTTCACCCACTTCAGTTATCGAGTTGCCAGTCCTTCCCACCTCATTCTCTTCTTTGGTCCCTTTATTCTCCGTTGTAGACTGCTCCCAACTTCTTGAACTCTTCTTTGCTTTTACATCATCGTCCACTTCCTCATGCATAAGCTGACTTTCTTCCAATGTACTGTCCGTCTGGTCACAAGTCACATGTACTGATGAGACACAGAAACTTTCTGAAATACACAAATTAAAAACTCCTTGGTAATGTATAAAACAATGTTAATCTTCCAGGTGTTTTAGAATATGATATTGCTGTAATCTGCAGCTGCAATGTCCAAATCATTTTCCTGTGATTTTGATGGTGACTTTTTACTTTGACCATGTCAAATGCCCATTAGGACAGTGTTAGTAGCTCACTGCATTGTTCTTGTTAATTAGCTATTGCTGCAACTTTAAAACCAACATATAGACTTCACAGTGCTAATTTTCTCTCCTGCTGTCTGAACATGCCAGTTCTTGATCAGGTATGATTTCACAGGAAGCAGCAGCCTTCAAACACCTTTTTCCAAATGTCCATGTGAACTTGGAAAGTTAATGGCAGGTATAAGAAAAGGCAGAGGGAAACTGGTTCTCTTGGGGCAAGATTATCAACTACCTGTACTCTGGAGTTCGATTTGGCCCCAGTGGGAGTCAGGACCAAGCACTGTCTTTGGATTAGCAGCCACAGTACAACTGGACTAAGTTGTACAGACATAATCCAACTCTTAATTCAAAAGTCAAAAAGTCTGTCTTTTCCATTGGGTTCTCAGTATGTATGCTTACATTAGAAATTATTAATGTACATTTGTAACATTGTAGTTATGTCTTTGCAACAGTTTAACTTTCTAAAACATTACTATAAACAATGAATGTTGTAAATTGATTCAGTAATGTCACCATTGAGTAATGTCAAGGATGGATGTCAAGGACTGGTAAGTTGACTGTATGAGCCAACAATTAGTTGATTGACTCAAGCAGCATGTTCCTTTGGTTGTTGGTAACAGGCAGAAAACAGACTGTACTCAGTCATCCCTTACAGAATCCAAAACGAAACTGATTCTGCTATTGGGCTGAACAATCCAAAGTGCGCTAATAACCACACTAACAATCAATTTAAGATAATCAGCCAAGCTCATAACATGGTTCACTTACACTTGCTAGAAATGTCGTACTTTCGGATATTTCCTTTAGTTTGCAGAGATTATAAAAATGCTTGCACCTTTTTTTGAATTACCCGAAGAACCTATGGTTCTTTCTTCATTGCTTTTTTCATAGCAATGCTATGCTTCAGCCAATCAATCATTGATAAATCAATCAGCAGTCTGATCTCTTGTAGTACAAATTGCTGTGATTGTTTGATTTGTCATTCTTGCCTTTGTCCTCATTAATGCAAGATAAAATATTCCAGGAACATGTCATTCTTATCAGCAATATTCACGATGTTTTAGCTACACGTTTCAGTGATTACCATATTCAGACACCCCGCTCCCCACATTCAATAAAATCAGGTCAGTGGATAATTGCTACCTCATCTTGCATCCACAATGTAACCCTTAGTGTTTCCAAAGGTTAATCACCCTTGCTGAAATCTGTTTTCTTTACTGCTATAATTAAATATTTTAATTAGAATATTTCTCCTGGTCCTGCTCAGGTGTAGACTAGCCAGCTTGCACAGATACCACCTTCCCTAAAAGATGTCCCATTGACGCAGAAATCTGATGCCCACCCTGCTACACCAGCTACTCAGTCACATATTCAATCACTCAATTCTCCTCCTATCCTGCTTACAATCATAGAATACTTTAAAAAAAAGGGTGGTAGAAATAGACTAGAAAACTATAGACTGACCGGTGAGTTTAACATCAGTGGTAGGGAAATTATTGGAGAAAATCAATAGTGAAGGAGTAAATTTCCACTTAAAACAGCATGGTTTGATCAGGGATACACAGCATGGCCCTGTCAGAGGGAGACTATGCCTAACAAATCTGGTGCAATTTTTCAAGGAGGTAACCTCATGTTTGGATGAGGTTAGGGCATTTGACATGGTTTATATAGATTTCAGCAAGGCCTCTGACAAGGTCCCACTTGGGAACCTGATAAAGAAAGTATAAGCTCATGGGATCCAGGCTAACTTGTCAAGATAGATCCGAAACTGTCTTACTGACAGACGACAGGTGTTTGGCGAATCCTATGTTGGTGTGCCTGCAGATTCATTGGTGAGCTGGCTCAGGACTCAGGACTCATAGCAGAGGCAGCTGAATGAAGACAGACTCTTTCAGTTATATCTTTTTTATTCTTAGACTATTCAAAATGCCAGATTGTGGGGACATCTCAAGCTTTACACTGTACAGTACTGTATTATTCATTGTAAGATACAAGTGACAATAGATCATTCAATTCAATTCAAAGCTGTCTGTGTGACTGGAGCCCTGGTGTGTCGTGATGTACGAAAGGGATCAGTGCTGGCTCCCTTATTGTTTGTGATATTCAAAAATGATGTAGATGAGAATGTGGAAAGGATGCAAAGCAAGTTTGCAGATGACGCAAAGATTGGCTGGGTTGTTGACAGTGAAGAGGAAGGTGTTAGGTTACAGGAAGATATAAACAAATTGGTCAGATGAGCAGATCAGTGACAGATGCAATTCAACCCTGATAAATGTGAGATGATGCACTTTGGAAGAAGAAACAAGACAAGGGAGCACTCAGTGAATAGCAAGATATTAGGAGGTTCAGAGGAACATTAGGATCTTATGGTGCTTGTTCACAGATCACTGAAGGTGCAGACGGGTTAATAGGGTAGTAGTTAAGAAGGCAGCAGGGTTTTAATCAATCAGTCGAGGCGTAGATTTTAAGAGCAGGGAGGTCATGCTGGAGCTGTACAGAACTTTGGTTAGGCAACAGCTGCAGTACTGTGTGCAGTTCCAGTCACCACACTACAGGAAAGATGTGAATGCACTGGAGGGGGCGGAAAGGAGATTCAACAGGATGTTACCTGGGATAGAGCACTTTGGCTATGAAGAGAGGCTAGATAAGCTTAGGTTGTTTTCTTTGCAGCAGAGAAAGTTGAGGGGTCCTAATAGAGGTGTGTAAAATTACGAGGGGCACAGACAGACTGAATAGAAAACAGCTTAGTTCAAAGGTCAATAAAAGGGGGCATCTAGCCTGTCCAGTCTCATCAACATTTTGTGTTCCTAATGAGAAATCCCTCATTCTTCTAAATTCCAGTGTGTACAAGCTCAGTCAATCTAGTCTTTTTTCATAGGTCAGTCTTGTCATCCAGGGAATCAGTCCGGTCAGAAACCTATTCCCAATCCTACCTTAGCCATTGGCACTAACATGGAACACAACCTCTGGATGATTACCCTCTCCCAGAAGAACGTCCTGCAGCTACACTGTAATATCCTTTACCCTATCGCCAGGGAAGCAACATAGCATCTTGGAACCACGCTGATGGCTGCAGGAGTACCTGTTTGACCCGCTAATTATGGAATCCCCTAACACTATTGCTATTCCATTATTCTTCTCCTGTCTCCTCACCCATACGGCTGAGCTGCCCATAGTGCCACTAACTTTGCTCTGGATGCACTCTCCTGAGGAAACAATCGGGCTCACTAGTATCCAAAAAGAATAACAATTAACAAGCATGACTGACTCAAGGTACTCCTGCACTGCCTGCTTAGCTCTCTTCATTCCCTGCTGCCTGTACAGTTTTATCTTGTGATGTGACCACCTCCCTAAATATTCCATCCACATAGTCTCCTGCCTTGAGAATGCACAATACTGATTTGGGCCACTGCTCAAGTCCCAAAACCTTGAGCCCAAGTTTATGCAGCTGATGATGCTTCCTCACTTGCTCATCTGGGTCACACATTGTGACTATGACTTTACACATATGTAGAATGTACATTCCACTTGGCCGAACAACTAACATCCCATAATTTTAAAACTATTTATTACAATTAAAATACTAGAAAATCTTTTCAGTACTCACCAATCAGCTTCTTCCCCTGTACCAAATGAAAAGCTAACTACAGGAGGCTGTTCCAAGTGCAGACTCGCCTTGTGCACTGTTTTCAAACTCTTGGACTGCTCCCCTCTTGAGGCAATGCTGAATGCTGCCTTGGAGCCCTCACTGTGACTGCTCCTTTCCCACTTGTGTTGTAGTTTTTATTACAAGAACAAAGTGGTCCATCTCATTGCACCTGCTGAGGTATTCACATTTTCCTGTGAACATTTTAGCTAATATATATATCATGAGCATTCTGGTGGTTCTGACCTGGTCTTCCATGACTTCCAACTTGAAAAAAAGTTTACTCACCCGACTGACTACGAGTCCTAGTTTTCAACACCACTGGAATGAAGTCCTTAAAACTATTTTTGCCTTTTCTTAAAGAAAGATCTGAGAAAGAAGAAAACAAAAGCAAAAATTTAATTAAAGCAGAACCTTTTCATGTTTCATGTAATAATTGATCTCTTCAAGATTTATACATTCGAAAAATGGTTTTTGTGCTTATCAAGAAACGTTAGTACTGGGGCATAGAACATGTCCCATTTCATTATCCAAGCATCACTGCCCCTAGGCACGTATAGGATAGCCAAGTGCAGAGCAAAGCTGCTTTTGCTCTGTTTCAGAAATACATGCTAAAGACAAATTCAAGGTGAACTTTAAAGTAATTTTCTATTTGCACACCAGTGTTGTGGTGGTGACGAAAATGAGAAAGCAAACATTCTGACTGAAAATTATTTTTGCTGCAAAAATTAAAACTAGAGCTAAATTTACTTGATGCCATTTCTGATGAAGGGTCTAGGCCCGAAACGTCAGCCTTTCTGCTCCTATGATGCTGCTTGGCCTGCTGTGTTCATCCAGCTCTGCACCTTGTTTACTGGATGCCTAATGTTCTACTTGAAATTAAAATGCAAGACAAAGAGATGGGACTAAAACAAAATAATCTGTGGCATTTAAAGAACTCAAGCTTTGGTACAAATGTCGGAAACCGAAGCAGCCACATGATTTCTCAATTGTAATTCAAGCATCAGTTAATTATTTCTTTGTACTTTTTTTCCAAAGCTAAAAATAACATGTCCAAAAATCATAATGAAGACAACTGGGGAGATGGTGGCATAATGGTAATGTCAGTGGACTGGTATTCTGGAGGAATTTGAATTCATACAGTAAAACTGAATTGAAAACTAGTCCCGATAATGGTGACCATAAAACTGGTATCAACGGTTGTAAAAACCCAGCTGATTCACTAGTGTCCTTTGTTGTCTGCAACTGTTTTGGTAAATGTGACTACAAAACAACAGCAATATAATTGACTTTTAGCAGCCCTCTGAGATAGTCTAGCAAATCAATCAGTTCAAGGGCAATTAGGGATGGGCAATAATTGCTCCTTGCTCGTAACATGAAAGGGGAAACAGAAAAAGATGACAATTGAAGGCCAAAATACTTGTGACATTAAAATAAAACAGATGTTGGGTGAAAACAGTGCAGAAATCTAGCAACACACTGACAACCATGACGTACATGCAGTCAGCACTGTCAAATCATCTACATTTCAAGCATCTTGCACAGTGGCACTAATCAAGGACAGAAATGAAGTTACGGTTTGTTGGAAGTAGGATTTAGAGGATCTCCTCAACTGAGGCTTCTAAAATGCTTAAGTGGTCCACAGGAGCAAACAAAACTTGAGACTAAGTCACAAAAGGATGTATGAGGCCAGGTTACCAAAAGCTTCGTTGAGGACAAAGCTTTTAAGGAGCGTTTTAAAGAAGAGGTGGAGAATTATGTAACAGGAGATACTGGAAATTAGGTCCAGGCATTGGAGGCAGGTCATCAATGGTGGATCAACTAACACGGGGTATGCACAAAATGGCAGAACTGCAGAGATCTAATAAGTTTTCAGGGCGGGAGGAGATAAACAGCAGGGGTGAGGATGATCCCAACTCACAGAAAGTGGAAGGTGTAAAGCTGATCAGGAAAGCAGTGCAATTATCAAGTCCTGAGGTAACAAAGGCATGGGTGAAAATTTCTATAGCAGAAAAAGATTAGGAGTGAGAAAGCAACTAAGACATACATAAAAGTGAGACAGAGCAAGGGTAGGTGGTGAGATATCAGGAGTTAGATATGGAGAAATTAGAAAGGGGGGTGAGAGAGACAGTTGAGGGAAGTTGAGGCATTACGAGGACAAAGATCAATAAGGGAAGAGACTTAATTTGGGGAAAAGAGACTGAAACACAGTAAGGTCATGACTGAATTGGTAAGATAGAAAACTCCAATCATAAATGTTTTTGGAAATATGCATGCTTATTGCCTGCCTCACCTATAACAAATGCACAGATACATAAATACACAAGCTCTCTCTGAACAGCAGCTGAATGGTGTAATTTTCTGCATAAGGGGAAAACAAAAACTTCTAACTTTATAAGACCATCACTAAAAAGTCTTAGGAAAACTCAAAGGAACTTGCTCCTTTCTACTTTGTAAAGAATTCTGCAAAACTTCTACTAGAGTTATGCTGGGAGCTCAGCTGACAATACCTGGGCCCAAATGTCTTGATGTTCCAATAGTTTGGTTATGAATTGATAAAACTTCACTCAATCTCGCATCCTATACGCCCTGTAATAACCTCATCTTGGAAGCTTATGCAAGATAATTAAGTAGGAGAATTATCTTTTGGTCTAGTTTAGTTCAGTTAAGCAGATAAATCTTCACAGTGCCTGCAATATCGTCAATAAAAACAAGTGTTGGAGAAACACAGCAGGTCTTGGCAGCATTGGTTGAAAGAGAGTTAGCGCTTAGAGTCCAGCGACTCCTTTTTGGAATGTAATCAAATTGTTTTTCAGAATTATTTCAGGATTTTGCCTCCATTGTTCCATCCAAAAATCCACTGCAAATGTTGACTACACTTTTTGTGAAGAGAAACATTCTCAGATCAGATTTGAATTTCCATTCACAGCTTGACTCCTTACCTCCTTGCTTTACTTCTACTCTTCAGTTTATAGTAATCATACTTGGCTAAATGTTACAATCTTAAAGATCTGTGCAATATCATCTCTCATATTCCTACTTCATAGGTTGAAGTTGACAATTCTACTGTCTTTCCTCTTAACCCAAATGACACAGAAGGTATGCCTAGCAATTTTCTGTCCAATGTCTCCTGCATGTGACCAGAGCATTTTAAAGTTTGGTCATTACCATCTTTGACTATTATTCTACTGCCTTGGCTATGATGTTCAACATTCTTCTGGATTATTGCTCTGCACTGATTAAGCATACTTACTGACAAATATTCAACAACAACTAGAATCTTAATAAGCAACAGAATGACTAGGATGGACTTGGGCAAGAAGTGAAATTTCAAAAATCTCAAATCCAATTCTAGTCCACCACTTTCTGCTTTAATAGAAATAAAACAAGGCACAAAACAACCAAAACACTCCAAGAAGATGAATTGGTAACTTTAATACCTCGATGAGGCTGTCACCCTTTGAAATTGTCTATTCTCAGGTTTCACCCTGGCTGGCCTCAGGAGGCCAAGCAGCAAGGAAAACTTAGGGTGCAAGTTAAATGCTTTTCCCTAGTCCATGAAACTTCATCCATATCTACCAGCTCAGGGACTGAAAAACACTGCCATTCTGACAGTAGGACCTTGGATCAATCTTCAGACTCCTACTATCAATAAGAAAGTTAATTTGTCATAGTTCTACTGGACCACAGGCTCTGTCAGTACACAGAGAGAGAGACAGAGCGAGAGAGAGAGAGACACACACACACAGACAGAGGACTGGTGGTAATTTAACCTGAGGGTCACCACACTTCAGGTGACAGGAGAGTTTGAGTTTGAGAAGGAGGGTGCTTCATGGTTACCTCAGCTAGTGTGGGAATTGATCCAGTGCTGTTGGTTTCATCTTGCACTTTAAATCAGTCATATAGCTAACTGAGCTAACAAAGTAACTTAATGGAAGCTGCAACCTGCTCGAGAGAGCACCCCTACCTGATTGGCAGATACTGATCCAATCAGGCTGTCATGGGTTTCTCAACAGAGATTCCACTTTCTTGCCAACACAATAAATCCTATACAAATTGGTACAATATTGTGTTTTTTTTTTGGCTTCATTTTTAGCTATTCAAAATCCATATATTAAAGCAATTAACCTTTTTTTTAATATTGCATTGCTCAGTTCACTTATGTATTTCATCGAAATGTCTGAACTCAACTATATGCTATTTCCTGCATTCAACTGCTAGTCTGATACAATTGTGAATTCGGTTATCTGCATTAAGTTTCAGACACAACGTAAAGTAGAATTGTAGTGATTCCTTATTTCCTGAAGGCTTGGCATTACACTGACACCCTGCTTTGAGAATTCATTATTTCCAACATTTTACCCAGTTTATTATCTGTTCCTGGATTTTACGCTTAAATTTTCAAAGCTGCAAGTCGATTAAGTGCCTTTTGCATGGTACATATCTAATGCTCTCTGAGAGTCGAATGACACACGCCCATAAAGGTTCACCACAACTCAGCTGGGTTGTCACTTTTTCAAGGAACTTAAGGATCTTCTCCAATTGAATCCACCTTGACACTGTAAAAGAGGTTATCCTCCAATTTATTCCTGATAATTGAATCCATTAGTTTGAATGAAGTGGAAGACCAATAGTCAAGCATTTGTCAGGACCTGTTTTTAAATTTCAAGGAAGAGCCTCTATCCTGGAAACTTTCCACCTTGCCACAACTTTCTTGGTGAAATATACCCAATTTTTTTTCTACAGATGCAGGATAAAGTCAGGCCTGTAAATCTCTTGAGCAATGCACTGGCGTGGGCAGCCAAGTTCCACCGGTGTTGGTCAGAAGGCCAGGTTGGTTCTCAAGATATTCTTCGCTGTTGTTTTAGAATTTGATAGGCTCTCTCGCCCTTACCTACACCAAAACCTCAAAGCTATTTCAATGTAAATTCAAGCTCCAACCCTCCCCACCAACTTATTTCCCCCACAACCTCTCATGCCACCTACATAGCCACTCATCCAGTATCCACAACGGACAGATCTCAGGAGCCACGCGGGAATTAAATAAAATCTATGTCCAACAGTTTACTAATGTTTTATTCCAGATTTACAGCATTCACAATTCTTTCGGTTTTTATGAAATAATATTCTTGCTTTTTTATTCTATTAAAGTCAAAGTGTCCACCTCACAATTTTCCACTTCATACTCCATCTGTTAATTTACACCCATTCACTTAATTTATCCTTATCCCTTTGCAGACATTTTGTACCTTCCTCACAACTTCTTGCCTTACGCTCCTTCATGTTGCAGTCAAATTGGTTACAATACCATCTGTCTCCAAATCATTAATATAGATTGTAAATAATCTGATCTTTCAACTCTGCGCACTTCAGCAGTTAAATCTTGCCAACTTAAAAATGACTTCTTTATCCCGACTCCCTGTTTATGATTAACCAATCTATTGCTATTATCCCCAATACCATGAATTTTTATGGTGTTACTTTTTATCTACTACCTTATTGAATACCTTTAGAAAATCTAAAAGTAGTCAAATAATAAGATGATATCCCTTTCACAAAACAATGTTGAGCTGAATCTTACGGCTTTTTGGCTAAGTGTCAGTTTCACTGAGGATCATTACGGCTTTTTTGCTGCAAAGTTGAGCAAGATCTCTGACCCCATCTTACCAAACTTGGCATGTTAGCTATCTTGCCCAACCCTATGGCTGCATTCTACCAACGTGTATCCAGAACAACAACTAACCAGTCATCAAATATCCCCTCAGAATCATCACAGTATCTCCTCAATCCACTCACGGGATGTTTGAAGAGGTACTACGACATTTCCCCAGGGGCTGGCAATTATTGGATGCCAATGTTGTGGATGAGGGATGCGTGCAGCTGGTGTCTATGGGTCATACCCTGAGATGTTGTTGGGTGGTGAGAAACATGCAGGCTGTTTGCAACCAGCCATGAGCAGAAATCAGCAGGTACCTATTTTGACTTCCGTTGAGAATTCTCAGCACCTAGTTTGCTTGTGGTGGGTAGAAGGATAGGAAGCTGCATATGAATGAGGTGATATGTGCAATTAATAAAAAAGTGATAACCAAGCAATGTTCTCTCTTAACAGGCACCTAACTCCTCCTCAGTGAGAGGTTTGCCTCAATGGCCAGTCCTTAGTTAAAAGATACAGCAGGTTGATCCTAATCCGAGATAGGGCTCACCAGGCTTCTTGTGCTATTCTGCCAGATTTCTTGACATAGCTCACTTCCTTCAGGCCCCTACAAGATTTCCCCTGTTGACTTTGTCTTAAAGCATTATGACTCTATCAGCTACAACTCCAAAATAATGGATTCTAGTATTGTCCCCAGTGACAGATATTAGGCTAACTGGCCTGTACATTCCTGCATTTAATTCTCCTCCTTTCTTCAACAGTGGTGATACATTTGTTTTTTTTCAATCCACTGGTACCTTGCCAGAATCAATCAATAATCTAGGTAATATTGGAAGATTACAACCAATACATCCACCATCTCTGCAGTAATATCTAAGGACAACTCGAAAAATGGGATATAGACCCAAAACAAAAGATTTGACCACCCATACTTGAGGTTCCCTTTGTCAATTTTGAGTTACAGTCTCTCAAAATTCCCTACTCACATGACAGCATGAAGATGTGGCTGGCCTACATCATAAGGCTGTTATAGACATCACACCTAGATTGGTAGCATGGTAAATAAAACAGCAACAATCAATAATACCAATGTTTCAAGCTCCAGTCGGTTGGTGGGAAACCTTGTGACATTGCAGTTCCTCTCTGTGAATTAAAATTAACCTTCTCAAGTTTAGCCATAATGTGGAGTTGGTAGGGTGGACAAGGTCAGAAATCAGACAGCACCAGGTTATAGTCCAACAGGTTTACCTGACGAAGGGGCAACACTCTGAAAGCTTGTGATTTCAAATAAACTTGTTGAACTATAACCTGGTGCCATCTGATTTCTGACCTTCTCAAGTGTACATACCACAAGACAAGGTAATTTCTCTCTATCTTGTTAAGTTTTTAATTAACCTGTTCAGGACATGTTATGATAAGGACCCTGATTTTCTGGCCCAAAAGTAGAGACCATTGTCACTATGTTTCGAGAACCCCTTTTTGTAAAAAAACAGGGGACTTGAGACTTGGGACTCCAAGTAACAATACAGCATATCTCATTGGTATGAGCTCTCAGAATTTCATGAAACAAGCTAACAGCGAACTAACAATCTCGAATTTAAACATGTTTATTCGATTAGTATTCAAAGGGCTCAGCTTGGAACATTGTGTTCTCCTGTCTCTTTGAACAAATGGCTCCCAAACAGATAGATGACAATATCGCAATTTTTAAATCTGCATCCCATCATTACCCAAAAGGGCATGCAGTTAGTATTTTACAGATCAGTCCTACCTTTTTCTTGTATTGCTGTTCTAGAAGAGCATTCAGTCTTTGGTGTTCTCAGCCGTTTGCTTTTTCTTTCTCCATCGAGTCCTTTGGATGAACAGACATCATCTTCGCTATCTCTATGACTCACTTCGAGACTGCTTGACCGTCTTTTGGATCCCTGAAATTTACATTCAACTGAGTTCAAGTTTACTCTCTGTACAACTATTCTTTCAAGTACTGCAAACTGATGACTTCAAATTATTTGTAATCACTTGAAATTTACTTTTGCATTTAACCCCCCAAAAGTAAACAAAATGACGCATTAGCAATTCAAGACACAACAAATATGGCTAAGGTGGCAGCTTCCCCCTACCCTATTTACAATCATATTAAAGATTGAAGTTTTTGAAGTGATCAGATATTGGTTGCACCATTGAGGAAGTGGAGCACTATCTCTTACCATCGGTATTCATCAACTATGAATTCTGCCACCGGTTATCCTATTTCTCACCTTTTTCTTTATTCCCAGTTCCATGATGATGCTGACAAAAATAATTTCAATCAAGGGTTATATTTACAATATAAATTGACAAAAATGGTTCACTAAGAAAGAAGGAATTTGTGCTTTGTGTACTAAGAGTGCCATAAAAAAACACATCAGATCCACTGAATTTTCTGAAGGGCAAATGATGTTGTTGTGTAATCAACTGCAGCAGCTAATTTGCTTTTTTGATCATTTTCATTTGGAGGGAAATGTGATGACCAGGTGAATTCCTTGCTCTTCAAATATTGGACCTTTGGTGCGCATCTGAACAGTTTGGGGTTTTGGTTTAATACCGCATCCAAAAGTTATTGTTTGCAACAAACTAGTATTCCTTCAGTATAGTACCAAAGCGTCAACTTTCTCAGATATGTACTATAGCCTTGGAATAAATGTAGACCAATGGCTGTATGAGTCAGAGGTGAGATTTCTTCCCAGTGCCAAATGGCACTCAGTAGTTAAAATCATCAACTTGTCATCCTCAGAGATAGGTTACAAGGTAGGTTGCAAGGGTGGTTTTAAAGGGGGAATGAGAAGTGAAGAAACAGAAATTCCAGAGTATACGTGGTAGACAAATGAAACCATAGATGGGAAAGAGGGCTGGCAGATGCATGAGATTCCATTCTTAGAGGAATGCAGAATTCTTCACCGAAAGGTTGTAGGTCAATGATTATAGAAATAGGGAGGGATAAAGTAATGGAGGATGAGAATTTTAAAATTTAGGCTTTAATCAGCCAGGTATCAATGTAGGCTAGCAAACACAGGTTTGACAGTTGTGTGAGACTTGATGCAGTTTAGAACACCAGAGTTTAAGATGAGCTCACATGTATGAAAAAAAAGGATGTAGATCTGCCATTCAAATAGTTGATTACGGAGGAAACATATACATGGATGAGGGCTACAACAGCAGATAAACTCAAGTAAGGATAGAAATGGAAAATAATACCAAGGATATGGGGTCAGAAAGTTAATTCAAGATCAAACGGGATATCAAGATTGCAAACTATTTTGTTCAGCACAGGCAATGGCCAGGGCAAGGGACACTATCAATGGCTAGGGAACAGATCTTTTGTCAAGGCCAAAGACAATGTTTGCTAATCTTTAACCAAAGAAAACTGAAGCTCATCCATGACTGGTTTTGTAGAAAATAGTCCTACCATGCAAAGACATCTAACTGCTGGCAAGATGGGTGGTGCTGTAGGGCTGAGTACACACGTGGAATTTTTGTGTGGCGTCACAAGGCAACACATGTCGATAAGAAGTAGGAAGGGTCCAAGGATAGATCCTTGAGGCCCTACAGGGATGATGTCATGCTGACAATGTGGTAGGATAGGTTGGAATGGACAGTTGCATACATCTGAAGAAGTGAAATGGACTGGAGAGGGCTGTTGTGGTGAACCGATTTAAGGGATACACAGACTTCGAATAGGTCAAGGAGCCTCAGTCACAGAAGGTATAAATCAGGACTTTAATTAGGATCACTATAGTGCTGTTGAATGGTGCAAACCTATTTGGAGAGGTTCACATGTGAGCCTCAACCTAGATAAAGCCAGAGTTAAAATTCCACTTCTTTCACTTTCACTAGCAGTGGAAGACAATAGAACCTGGACTTTCTGATTCGCATTATAATATGCTGGCAGAGATAAATTTGTAATAAATGGGCTAAAATCTGTGATCCAATGTCCAATCAGAGAAATTTTACCTGTCAAAATAATACCTTTTGCAATCTCAGCTGTCCAGAATTAGTCCTACAATTTTCACACTATATAGTGTGTGAACCGGATAACATTTTAATAACTCAAGTTTAAAGAATGTGAAGGCTTCACACCTATAATGATAATACTGCAGTTCACCAAGGTACAGGATGCTAGTGCTGCAAAATGGAACTCTTTCCACTTCAGATGCAGTATCAGCATCAAACATTCCCATAGCAGGTAAGGAAGCTCCATAACCATTGACTAATAACATGCTTGAGCACTAACATTACACTGTAGTACACCTTTATACTCATGTCCTATTTCCTGGGCTCAGAATGAAATTGCAAATGTAGTACCACACATGAAGTAATTTTGCTTACTGTAAACCTGGATTAATGAATTTGATAAATCATTTATTGTAGGACCCATCAGGCTAACAAACACTGGAGCTGTTTTATCTAGATTTGAATCTAGTGTTTAAAGCAACAGTACTATCAGACCTCTTAACTATTAGCAATGTAATTGGATCATAGCATAATTTGAAATTTTCTGATATATTTGATGAATAACATGAGAGAAAATTATTATAATAGCAATTTACTTTGATGTGAAGGTGAATAAAGATTTGTTGCTGACGAACATAGTAAAAAATGATAAGTGATAGGCTCGGTAAGATAAATGTGAATAGAAAAATGTCAGTTCATCTAATTGTGACATTATTTCAAACAGCCAATGTTTTGAAGTATTGCCTACCTGCCCCTCATGGGTAGACCAGGTCTTATTTAAAAAGTTCACTATTTCTTATCCAAAGAGCAATAACACTTTGTTAATGACAAAACCCCTTTCAGCATATCAATTTGTTTACAGTAGTGCATCATCAGATTTTGGGACATTTTACACATATATATGACATTTCTGGACTTTCTTAACTTTGAGAAGTGAAACCTTATTTTATATAGCAAATCTGACCAATCTGAATATGGCAAATTTCATTCTATTATGATCAATGATGTCATATATTTAGTCCATTGGTACTATAAGCTGTTTTTAAAAAATTGAAAGTTGAAACTAACAAACATTCTTTAACACTATGTGTGTGATACCTAAATTATTGCTGCCACTATTGTCCGTGACAAAACTGTAATGTTCCCATTCTTCTTGTACAGCTTAAAATGCTCCCTCGACAAAAATCAAGTTTAAGCGCACAAGGTTGTCTAATTCAACTGCTTGCTGTTTTACAAATTTCAAGTAATCTCAATAGAAAAGTCCACCATCAAGTTTTACTGAAATCCCACTGTGCTATCATTTCTTGTTCAAACTCAGGGTGGCTGAATCAAAATTTTGACGACTGTTCATTCAACATTGAGCTTACAGGCAAGGGATTTGTTAAAAAAAAAAATCACTTTGTTCAAGTTTGAGACAAGTAGCTTTAACTTTATATTGCATTTACAGCAGCCAACCACTGCATGTTATTTTACTCATCTTAGGTCCAGATTTTATAGTAGTATGACAGTCCAACAGTCACTCAGTTTAAAATTGACAGCAATTTCTGGAATCTGCATTTATATAGTTAAATACAGATATGCACAAGCTGTCACTGATTCTAAGCTTCTCCATTTGTGCACAGTTGAAGTAATTACAATTAATGAACTGGCAAAACCCTGCTTGTTTACACTGTTGCTCTCATGGCAAAAGAAGCTTGAATGAAATAACATCTTGTTGAATGAGGTGTAACCATTCAGTATTTATATAACACCTTTAGCACAATAAAATATTCAAAGATAAAATATCCCCTTCATGGGGCGAACACAAAGAGATATTAAGGCAGGTGACGAAAGGTTTGGTTAAAGAGCTAAGTTTTAAGGAGTCTCTTAAAGGAGGGTAGTGAGGCAGTATTTCAAAGCTTAAACTCCTTTCAGCTGAAGAAACAGCTACCAATGGTGAAGTAATATAATTCAGGGATGCTTTAGGTGTCTGAATTAGAGAACTGCAGATATCTTGGAGGGTTAGGGGGCTGCAGGGTATTCCACTGATTAGGTGGGGTTATGTCAGGGAGGGATTTGAAAACCAGAATGAAAATTTTAAAACATGCATTTGTTGCCACGGTACTCACTGCCCATGCAATTTCAATGCCCATCACGTCACTGCCAGAGATGCTGAAGGGCTTGTATAATGGCTCCATACTTTGTTCAATGATCCAACCAGCCTGTTGCTCCAGAAACAAATTGCACAGCAGTTCAGTCAGAGGAGCTCTCAGAAAGACTGAAAACAAAAAAATGCTGGAAATCACAGCAGGTCAGGCAGCATCCGGGGAGAAAGAGCAAGCTAACGTTTTGAGTCTAGATGACTCTTCTTCAGAGCTCTGAAGAGGAGTCATCTGGACTTGAAACATTAGCTTGCTCTCTCCACGGATGCCGCCTGACCCACTGTGATTTCCAGCATTTTTTGTTTTCAGTACAGATTCCAGAATCTGCAGTAATGAGCTCTCAAGTCCTTGTTGCCTCACTCATCGACACTATCACAGGACATAGTGATGAACAAGTCAGTGAGGTGAGCCAAAGAGGGCAATAGAGGATAGTGTGGTGTGGACAGCAGCGAGTGGGTTAACAAGGGTGAAACAGCAATAATGAGTGCACAGTAATGATGTCAGTGACACCAACTGGCTGGATCCATATGGCAGAAACCCCACAATGATGTCAACTGCAGCAACTTCCTATTCCAAAGTATTGGCAGGAGATAGTCAATTCTAACAAGAGTTTAACAGTGTAAAAACATCATAATTACTGTTGAATAGCCTATAGTTCCTAAAAGCTAGTTTTATATTTGTTGAATGTACTTTTTATTTTACAAATAGTGATATTTATGTTTAAACGTTTTAGGAATTTATGATATTTCAGCTTCAATTTCAATCCCATATGTAGGTCTCAATTCTTTAAAATTGCACTCAAAAAATGTTTACTTCAAATTGATAAAGTCTGTGCATTTTAATTCTGAGTTTACCATATCAGAATTGTTCATTTTGATTTGCTATTTACCTTGCTTGCTGACGTTGATATTCAGAGATGAGAGCGGCCAGAGACAAAAAGTTCTGAACAGTTTTTATGACAAAGAACAACATATACATTAATAGCGCAAAGCAGCAAAGTCACTGCAGTATAAAAGGGCTGGAGAAGTATTGTATTTTTATCATCTGTGGTGAAATGCCATGCTTCTCAGCAACTCCAAATGGGTGGAATTGTAAAAGTACAGTGAGATGAATGAAATACAATAAAACCAAAATACTGTAAATGCTAGAACTCTGAAATAAGAAGAGTAGTGACAATACTGAGCAAGTCTGGCAGCATCTGTGGATTTATTACAGTTGCTAGGTTAGTTCTTTGTAGAAGTAAGGTACCCCCTATTGGTATGATCCTGGGACACATTTTCGGATGGTTAGGTATCCCTTAGACTTATTAATGGTAGAGAGGCTCGTGCCTTAAAACTGTAAGCTATCAAAGAAATATCTATCAAACTTGTCAAGATCTATCAAAAGGTGTTTTTATGAATAGAGTGTTTTTTCCAATAGAATGTAGTTTGTAATATAAAACATTATTTTTTTCCTCTTGTCTGCATGGATACTAGTTGATAGTAGGTGAGTTGACGTGGTAGGGGGAGAGGGTGCAATTATGGGTAGGCATAGGGGCTATGAGGGACCATGGGGATGGGTAGAGGGACATAAAATGACATGGGGAAGAAAATGATGTAAAGGGGTATGGTGAGACGGCATGTTAGGCAGGTGGATGATGAGGTATGACGAGTGAGGGTTGCAGCAGTGTTTCATATTCTATTTTATTATTGTAATTTTTGAACACAGTACTGGAGCCTGAAAGCATGCTTTCTGTTCAGCCTGTCTCAACAAATGACAACCTCCTCAGTCTTTCTGAGTCACCTGGCCTAGTTTTGAATCCAGCTTACCCTCTCAGACCAAAAGTGGTGAATGCAGGCAGCCATTTTCAAAGGTCAGGGCTGCACAGCTGGTTACTCTGTATACCCAACCCAGGAATGCAAATCCAGGCTTCTTCCTCTTCACTGTGAATTTTAATTCTTCAGTCACTTCATGCCGCTGTTCCAGCTCCTTAAATCAGAGGTTTCTTTTCTTCTGCCCTTGCTGATCCTCCAACTATGCATTCTCTCCATATAGGAACAGCAAGAACATGAAGGACAGAAACTGATTCTCCATTCACAGCATTGTCACAGCATTGTGGTCAGTTTATGGTCTCATGAACAAACAGCAGAGTTGCAAGCTTTTCCTTAAAACCCCCGTAAGTTGAATCAGCTCCAAAAGATTGGAATATCAATTTAATATAGCTGATTTCTAAGAAGCCAATGTCACAAATCTGCCAAAAAGAGGTAATTTCTCATTCCTGTATTATTGTGCTAAACACTTGGAAATGCCCAAGTTGGCACTATATTCAAACTGTAATTGGGAGAGGGGGTAATCCATGTCGCAGAGATCACAGGATAGTCTTCAAAAATCAGTGATGAGCACCATTGTTACATTGCTGACTGTACAATATAGCTCTTAAAATCCCAACCTATTCTGTGCTATCAAGTATATATTCAGCATTACATATTGAAAACATTTATCACTTTTCTTCCTTTGGCCAATGCAAATTTATTGGAACCAAATATCATAAAGTACATTCCTAGGATCACCAGAAAAAAATCATCTGGTTTCTTATCAAAACCTGAAGCTAATACAAACGTAAACAAAATGAAACTGCATCCTTATTATAAAAACAGGCATCACATAGCTGTGTTTAACATTCTATACACCATAATATTCATTAAGCAACAAAGCAAAAATTCTCGAACAAAGAAAAAAAGCAGGTTGAAAATTATAATTACCTGAATGGTCTGCTGTTCCCGATTTAATCTTTTGCAACTTACAATATCTTCCTTCTTAGTGCATTTGAACTTCTTTCCAATATAGCTAGATGGATTTGTACTGCATCTAACTGAATTAGGTCCTTTACATTTAGAAACTAGATTCTTCACTGAACCATCCTTCTTTTCTTTGGTAACAGTACATTTCACTGGTCCACAATGCTCTTTCTCATTACATATAGCTTTAGTCATTGATTCATCTGCATCTGTAGATAATTCCGAGGATGTTGTATTTCCACATGCCAACTCCTGAATGGTTGCTAGCTCTACCCTCTTGTCACTTTCTACAATAGGAAGATCTTTAATACTATGGCTATGATTAATTAAAGGCTGGTTGCTCAATGGCAAAGAAGTAATTATTCTTTGTCCTTTTTGCTCCTTATTTTGAAATTTTCCATCTTCTTCCATATCACCCGTTGAATTATTAGAATTTTCACTTGCAATTCCATTATTGGTTTTATCCATATTGTCTTTCTTGATTGTAGAAATCATATTTTGTTGATCTTTCTGACCATTTCTGCTTTCAGAAGGTAAATGGCTCAAGTCAACTGCACTACTGGAGGCTGATTGGTTCAAATCTTGAGAAGTACCTTCCTTATTTATTGCATTTGGAGTGAATGATTTAGGATTGTCTTTTTTATTTTCAATTGCAAATAGTTCCAAAGCCCGATTATGAACAATAGTCTCCAAGTTGGACAATGGCGATGCCATTATTTGTAGTTTGTCTTCTTTCGTTTTATTTCCACAATTCTGAGGTGTCCAAACAGCCCCCAGATGACGTGGGCTTTGAAATAAAGTATATTCACCTCTGGAAGATGCTAACCCATAAGGAATTCCTTGAGCTGGTGGTAGCTGTTGTGCTGAACAACTGCCATTAGTTAATAATGATGAATGATGAAATGGAGTTTTATCCTTTGCCAGATAAAGGTGGTTAATGACGAATGGGGGATATGCATTTGAATGAAATGATGCCACTTCACCGGGGGTGGATACAAAACAGCTATGCGATTGACTATTAGGTTTTTTTACACCTTGACCTTCACATGTACCTTTTCTGGCCTCCCCACTTTTGTCACCATTCGAAAGTGATAACTGGCAATCTCCCTGGTAAACAATTGAAATTGGCTCTTGCTTAGCAGCATTCTTAGATTCTTCATTACCAATCTGTAACATAGATGCAGGTATAGCACTGGCTACACCAACGAAAGTCCGTGGGTTATGGTTTACCAATTTACTGGAACCTTTTACCCAGGACCAAGCTGGGTTCGATGGCTGTAAAGTTAAAGGATCAATTGAATTCTTTTGAAGAGTAGCGCCATTTCTTATAGTATCTGGAAAAACCACAACAGGTGATGTTAAACCAAAGTTTCCTTTAATACTGCTGGCACTATAGATACTTTGAGGAATTTGTGATGAGATGCCATCATTTTTCGAGTGCAACAGAGAGAATGATCTATCTCCTTTAACAGGCGTCAATACTGGCATAGGTGGTGTTTTTCGCAGCTCAGGGAAAGAATTCTGTTTAACCCCTATACCATGACAGCTTGATTTTGCTGACAAATCTAGTGGCAAGTCATGGGATCCCTCTGGATATATCTGCTTCTCAAGTTGAGGTGGAGATCTAAATACTATGAATGGAGGGTGTGAATTTTCTGAAGGCCCAATTGAACGCTGATGAGTAGAACTGCACTCAGGAAGTTTAGGTAATTGGCAATTTGGGCTCTTTCGTCCCAAAGATAATTCACTGCCTGGGCTGAAATAAACGCGGGAAGTTGGTAGTGAAGCATGGGAAGCAGAGGCTAAAATCTGTTGTTGCGGAGATGATTCTGATTCAGTTTTACTTTTTGCAAACAGGGGCTGAGAGTAGTCAGCAGTATGTTTGATCTTGGATTCTGAAGTCAAAGATTTGTTGAGCATCACTGGATGAGAATATGAATGTAGATCAGGTGTTAGATTAGTGCTGCCTCCTTTACTTTGTAAAAATGACGGTATTGTCTGCACTGTAACCCCTAAAGTTGTTGGTAGAGATGGTGCAACATGGGGATGGACTAAGTTTGGAGGTAAGTACATCAAATGGGGACCCTGGTTAAACATGGGTGAAAAAAATGGTTGAGTAACAGTGTGTAAATTCTGGGATGATGATAAACCAGGTTTGTACAAGTTTAATGAGTTTGGTGCATCAAAAGGGCGGCAATTCCCTGATTTAGCACTGTCTATTTGTGGATCATTCCAGGGGAGTCCTTGATACTTAGCTTCAGTCCCAGGAATCACTTTTTGCTTTATAGTCTTTTCTGGTTCCCCAGTGTTTTCCTGAGTGCAAGTAGTTTTTGACAGAGTTTGTTGTGCTTTACGAGGCATGCCCGTACTCTCCAAATTTTTCATTTTCTTATCTCCACTTTCTGGCATTTCCCCATGCAGCAAGTTACTTTCCACATCTGTAACTTTGTCAGTCTTTAACTGTGTGTCTGAAGTGGTCATGAAGGTGACCTCCTCTTCTTTGCGAACAGATTTTTCAGGCTCATTATCCTTGCAATTTTGAAGTTCCTCCTGCAATAAGTTACTTTCATCCCACTCGACTTGATGGGCACCATTGCTCATTCGTTCAGTCGCCACCTAAAAAGATATGGCAATCAACAGAGATTTCAATAAGCCTAGGTTTCCTAAAGACACTAACACTACTTTACATCGCTACTAATAACTTTAAGTTGATTCACAGCTAAAGTAAGGATTTTAAAGAAAAATCTTGAAGTGTCTGAAATACAATTGTGCTTCTGGGAACCACTTGCAGGTATTTATACTTCAGTACTTTTTAAAGGAAATAGTTCATTTTCATCTTGCTTTCCTAAAGCCATTGACGCTTATTGGGTATGTCAGTAGTGCTCAAACCCAAGTACCTATTTTTTAGGTTGGAAGTTTTTACAAATTTGTTCTCGGGCTATGAGAAGTGTCAAAAGTCCACGTTTATTGCCTTTCCTTGACTGCCTTCGGAAGGATCAATGTCAAAACAACAATTATTTTAATAACTATATGGCTTGCAACTTTTTCAACAAATGTTAAATGTTTAAATTGTAATTGCGAGTAGAACACCAGCCAATGGGGGCAGAAGCAAATGGAGAATTATCCAGCTGGCTGCAGCTTGAAGTCCTGGAGTTTTAACTCTGAAAGGCTTATGCATATGAGCTCAGTCAGTTCCCACTCAAACCAGGAGGACCAGGAGCAACAGTAGCAAAAAAAAAGACTGATTTACAATAGTGACCATACAGAGCATGGACCTGATCAACGGCAGCAGCTTCAATGAAGTGAGAGACAGGGCCCCCTATCAATCAATGTGCAAATTTGAGAGATGGCCAAAAAAGAAGAGCCATTAGTGCTGAACAGTGCAAGACAGGGCCTCTGGATAGAGTGCAGACCTAAGTGGCAGCAATAGGAGGGGAAAGGGATGCCAGACAAGAGTGGACCAGAAGAGTGCAGGCATCCAAACAGAATATGGACCTGAGTAGTAGCAGGAATAGTAGTGGTTACAAACAACACAGAGCAGGAGAGGGCCCCCAGAAAAAAAGTGTGCAGATCTGAATGGCAGCAAAGCTGGCAAAAGAGAGAGGGGGCAGAGCCATTGAACAAAATGTAGGCAGAAAATTATAACAAAAAGAAAACAAACAGTTAAGTGTTGGCACAAGGTAGCTGTGGTAACTAATTATTACAATGTTTCTTTAAATCCCTCAGAGCTGGAGCAATTATTTAAACTAATAACTGGGGAGATCCATTTATTACTTTATTAAATTATTAAGTTAACATATAAACTAAAATAATCTAATTATATTTCTTCAGCATATCAATAACAGGTAAATTTAAAAAGAGAGACGAAAGGGCAGGCTATTTGCATATACAGTAACAAATATGAGTTTGTGGACAGCAATACAGAGTTAGATTTACAGACCTGCAGAAAATGACTCTGCCTTTGTAGTCACTGCAGCTCAGAATGAACAAGCTGCAGTGGGAGTTGGAGACGCTCTGAAACATGAAAGACAGGGAGGAACTTCTGAGTACTTTTATCTAGAATGCAAACACATCCCAGAGAAAAGCAGAAAATAAAAAATTTTTTCTGTTATAAAACAGGGTGTCAGGAACTTCGGAGAGGGAAAAAGAGGTTCTTCACGCAATGATCTGTAAAGAGAAAAAGAGAAGGACTGTAGCAAAGGCAGCCACAATGCAGATCCAGGCACCAAAGTTCAGAAGACGGTCCAAAGACGGAAGAAGCAGAATGGAAATGTACAGTGATAGGGGACTCCATAAATCAGGACAATAGGTAGCATCTTCTGTAGCCACAAACAAGCATCCTGAACATGTGTTGCCTACGTTGCCATTGAAAGGGATATTATACAATGACTACAGAAGAATTTGCATAAGGAAAAAGATAATCCCCAGTTGTTTCAATTCATATCAGAGCAATAATTAGGAAAAGGGAGGAAATCCATCTGGGGGAATATCAGGTGTTAAGATTAAATTACAGATTAGGTCTGTTGTCCTGTAGTAGTATCAACCTCTGGATTATTGTGCAAGAAGCATAAACTTTTACTTAAAAACAGTCAGAGCAGGAACACATGGCTAAGGAACTAATGTGGAAAAAGAGGTAATTATTTTAATGGAATATGTCAAAACCAAGATTATAATAAGAAATCAAGATGGATTTTAAAAGGATATGCCTTGCTTGATTAACATAGTTACATTTTTGAACAGGAGAGATAAGGGTCATGGAATAAATTGCTAGGTCAAAATCATGGAACGCCCTCTCCAACAGCATTGTGAGGGCAGCTACACCAAATGGACAACAACAATTCAAGAAAGCAGCTCAGTAACACATTCTCAGGGGCAACAGAGGATGGGAAATAAATGCTAGCCCAACCAGCGATGCCCACATCCAATGGAACAGAATGGATAGCTGGTTGGTTTCAACATAAAAGCAGACTGTAGGGTTAAGACACTATTATGGCAGTGGCGAAAAGTGGAAAGTGGCATTCCAAAAGGATTGCTGTTGAGACTATGGTGACCACAATTTAAGTTAATTTAGACTACTGAATGAAAACCATAATCTCTGACTTAAATTGATGGGCTGATAACAACCAAAGGAAAGAATGGGCTCCTGTGGTGCCATACAAGAGTACTGGTAGTATCCCTATCTTCAAGATCAAGAGCTCCAGGATCAAGTCTCACCTGCTGCACAGCTGTATAATAAATAACATCTCTGAACAAGCTGATTAGAAGTAACTAGCTGACGGACAGAGGACTGCAACAAATATTAACAGAACGAACATATGATTAGCTAAGTAATTTTAGCATAAAGAAAAAGAATTATTAAATTTTACCAAAATGAATTAAAGAATTTATATATTGCTTAGAATTAAGCATCTAAATAGAATGGAGGTGCAGCGAGATCTGAGAGTAAATATACAAATCACCACAAGCAGTGACATAGATAAAAAAAACTTTTAAGAAGCACCTTTAAGCAGAGATGGAGAGGGTGTAGGGCGAAGGAAGACTTAGGGAGAGAATTACATAATTCAGCATCTAGGCAGTTAAAATCACAGCCACCAATAATCAGGCTGATAGAAATCAGGAATGCACAAAGCATAGGAACTAGACAACCAGAAGGGCTATTGGAGGTTACTGAGATGAGGAGGGGTAAGCCCATGGAAGAACGAGAAATTGAAATGTAATAAATTGCTGGGATTGAGAGCCAATGTAAAGTCAGTGAGCACAGAGATGATGGTGAAATAAGACTGTTGTGCGTTAGGATACAGGCAATCAAATATTGGATGAGCTGAAGTTTAAGTAAGGTAGAAAATGAGAGGACAGTCAACAGACCGTTTTAATTGTCACGACTGGATGTCAGGATTTTGAACACCTCCTTCAAAATCTCTTCTTTAAAAGGTGAATAACTGCAGCTTCTTCAATCTGTGTGAGTGAAGCTCCCCATCCCTAGAACCATTCTCATAAGTGTTTTTTACACCTTCTCCTAAGTCTTCACATCCTCTTAAAATGGAAGGTGGACAAAATGGCTTGATTTTTTCCGATGGCCAGATGACTGTTTTTCCAGTGTAGATGGGAGTTGCACAAGGGGACCTTGTGGAATCCCCATCACAGTAGACTTGGAATGAACTGCCCAGGAAATTGAAAATTCCACTCGGCAATTCCCCTGCACTTGGATGAATCTGAAACTATCTATTTAAAGTCAAAGAATTCCAAAGGTCTGCTGCGGTTAAGTAAACATTACTCAGTAAAGGTTAGTCTATGAAATACCTAGTTTAAATCCGGAGTTAACTATAAAACTATAAAAGTTAACTATAAACCCTACCAACACACCACACACACCAGCAAATGCACCTCCCCCAGACTTCAAACATTATCCCAGACCCTATCAGATATTGACCCTCACCTCCAAGGACTGACAACTGTACACCACACCCCTCATCCCAGCTACTAGACCTGCACCCCCACCCTGGTGAACTCAACTCCCTTTTCCGCCACAAGACCTGACACCACTTCCTCAGCATGTAGAACCCAAGTTCTTACCCCATCACCAGACCAACCCCCTTTCACCATAACAAATACATTCCCCTGCCTGGCATCCTACTCCTTGCCCCTACCCATTTGGTACCCATCACTTCTGGGATCCTAACCTTACACTTACCTTATGTACTTACCATCTGACTGCAGCTGTCTGCAGTTGCCTGTGATTCTGGACCTTTAAATTTCAGAATACAGCAGTTGACTGCTGTGGAAAAAAGAACAGGCAATTGTTTGCTTCACCCTGACAGTTCTACACTATAAGGTACTCGTCAAAATGAAAGTGCACTCCATGTTTCTGAAGAAACCCCGATCAGAATCTCTTGTCAGAGAAGTGGAGCTCTTTCATTGTGTTTAGAGAAGGAGCAAAGATTGCCACTCGTTGAAAAATCTGCCTACTATTCCAACTGAGGCCAAACCGGTTGTTTTAGAGAAGTTTATCCTAACTTTCTGCTTTTGTACTTTGCGCCTTTCTAAAGCTAAGGATGCTATGTGCTATTTTAGTCACTCCTCAATCAGCAAAAACACCTTCAATGATTTGTAGGCATATAATCAAAGGTCTCTCTGCTCCTGCATCACCTTTTAAAAAAACTACACCATTTATATTTATATTATATCATTTCACACTCTCTGCATTACATTTCATTGGTTATGTGCCCATTCATTCTACCAACCTGACTATATTATCATCATTCTCCACATAACACTTCAAGTTTTGTGTCACATGAAAATTTTAAAGTTGTACTCTGTACATTCAGTCTAGGTTATTAATATGTATCAAGAAGAGCAATGATCTTAGCATCAAACCTACTGTATACTCTCCTTCAATCAGAAAAGCAGTCACTCACCACTGCTCAAGTTTGCTGAGTTTCAGGAAACTTATCTATGCTACCACTATCCCTTTCGTTCCAAAAGCTTCAACTTTGCCAACAACTACATCTCCACAACTCAACCCTCACACATTGTAGCAATCCACTTATCGTTGCCATTGCTCACAAGATTTAGCCCAATGAGTTTATCCCTGAACCTTTTTTGAACAGGCTGGAAGTTTTCAGTTCTCCAGTGTTGTGGCACACCACTATATATAAAATGTGAACGGGAAGTTTATGGTCAGCACTATAACATTATATTGAGGACTCAGTTATGCACAAAAAAAAATCTCTAGTCTCAATTATGATATCTCACATTATTCCCTCTCCTGTTATTCTCATACATACAGTCTTGCTTTTCCTAATGGACAAATGTTTGTTCCATGGTATTAGTGCTGCTGTTAATTGCTTTCCCCTCCTTCATTTGATTTTTGAATAACACATAAATGGACTGCCAATTTGTTATCAGCTATTTTGTGCTAGGGGCTAGTTGGCTCACTGGATGGCAAACATGTAGTTCAGAACAATGCCAATACAGATTCGATTTCTCTTCCAGCTAAATTAGCCTTGGGGTATGCATCCTCACCCTACTCCTGAGAATGGAAAGCAACAGCATACCACCTCTGAGAATCACTGTTTAGAAAATGGTTTAAGATGAAGCTTCAGCAGACATTGAGCCAAGGTCTGCTTTTGGATGAAGTAAACATTTCGTGATGATTTCCCAAGGGGTGAGGTTGTCGTTTGGTAGCACAAAATTAAGACCAACGCAGATTTAAACAGTCTAAAGAGGGCAAGGTGATAATTGAAGCATGCCAGGAAAGGCAAAACAAGGCAAGAGCAAGTGTGAGGAAAAGAAGGGGAGAAGATGGAAATGACAGAGTAGGTTGAAAATGCAAGGAGCAGAGTGAAGGGTAGGGGAGAGAGTGAAGAAAATGGATTGGTCATGGAAAAGAGCGCACAGGAGGACAGTAAAGGAATTTGAGGAGGGGAAAGGATGAAGAGGTGGGTGTCCGAAGAAAGAGAAGGAGCCAATGGGATCGATAAAGAGGGAAAGATCAGAAGAATATACTGGAAAACAAGAGGACTTTTTTTTGTTCTGAAGAAGTCATATCAGACTCCTAGAGCTGCCAAAAATGCTGAGTTTCTCCAACATTTTCTCTTTTTATTTCAGATCTCCAGCATTCACAATATTTTGCTTTTATTTAAGAAAGTAAGTTACCTTTGTAAAAGGCAGCAGATGATGAAACCTCCAGACCAGGTATGTTTTGCAAAAGACTGAGGATGTCTAAACCTCAATTGTGAGGTTTGCTGTGAGGGAAATCATGTCTCACTAACTTGACTGTTTTTTTTTGAAGAAGTGATAAAGAAGATTGAAGAAGACAGAGCCATGGACATTGTCTATATGAACTTTAGCAAGGCATTTGACAAGGTTCCACATGGTAGACTGATTAGCAAG